CTGCTTACCAAAGGATGGTTTGAATCTACCAGCCGCTCCATGGCAGGAAGTTGAGGTGATCTACTTCCATAAAGATTGCCAGCCTTGGAAACCTGATGGGGGTCGCTGAGTCAGAATCAACTGCTTGGAGTGGGTTTAGTCTGTTTTATCCACTTAACGTGTATAACGTAACTTTGTGCATTTTCCATAACTGGCTTTCTGCAGCATGTATCAACATGCAACTTGGTCTTTAAGAAACTTAGCAGCATGTGTTAGGTGCTACCACATTCAAACCAAAATCAAACCCACTGCCATCGAGTTGGATCTGAGTCACAGCCAGCTCTCCTTGGGTTTCCAAGACAGTATCACTACAGAAGTAGATTGCCCAACCTTCCTTCCAAGGAGTGGCTGGTGGGTTTGAACTGCCAGCCTTCTGGTTAGCAGTCAAGTGCTTTAGCCACTATGCTACCAGAGCTCCTAGAGCTCCCTTAGCAAAACTGAAAAACAAAACAAAACAAAACAAAAAACCCAACTCATTGCCGTTGAGTCAGATCCGACTTATAGCAACCCCTCCGAGTGGTTGGTGGGCTTGAACCGCCAGCCTTCTGGTTAGCAGTCAAATGCCTTCATTGCATTAATTATCGATTGTTGTATAACACATTACCCCCAAATGTTGGGGTTAAGATAAGAAGCACTTAGTATGTTGTGGTGAGAAATTTGTGTGTGGTGTGGGTGGCCCAGGATCTCTCAGGAAGTCAGTCATCTAATGGCTTAATGAGAACTGGAGGACCTGTTTCCAAGACAGCACTCTCCCAGGTCTGGGGATTTGGTGTTGACTGCTAGCCAGCTGCCTCAGTTCCTCTACTATTGGGCTTCTCCACAGACTGCCTGGGTGTCCTGAGAACATGGCGGGTAGCTTCTGTCAGAGCCACTGATTGAGAAGAACCAGCCAGATAGAACATTCCATTTTTCTGACCTAGACTTGGAAGTCTCTCAGCATCCTTTACGCCTCCTTCTATCCATTAGAAGCCGAAGACTATGTGCACCCACCTTCAGAGCAGAAGGGGAGAATGTTTTGATGGGAAGAATGTTGAACATTTTATAACTGTCATAGTTAAGATGGGAGAGTCTGGTTGAAGTAAAAAACGAGGAGCTTTTATTGAGAAATAAGGCAATTTGCGACTTGGGTATCACAATTCTGATGTAAGGAAATGACAGTTCACAGTGTATATAAGAAAATACAAGGGAACTTAAATATTCAGTGATTGGCTGACGTTTAGGAAATAGTCAGAAAACTGAGTGACGGTCCCTGTGGTTGGTAGATGATATACGTTTCTAAAGTTGGTTGTTTTTAACTTTCCAAAGTAATCATTAAATGGGGAACATCTGGCCTCAACCAACCAAGAAACCCTCCTTGGGTGACTGCACGGTGGACGGCCCTGTGTAATTCGTTTTGAGTAGGCATCTGTTTGGAGAACTCTTTTAAACCTGGCTTCCTAGGCAGCCAACAATCCCTGTGAAACGACATGATTTTGTTTACCGAGTCCTTCCGTCTCAGGCTACAGTGGAGAGTTACAAGGACAGGGTGGCTTCCTGACACAGAGGTTACTTTGATTCCAAATGGAGTTTTGGCCTCAGACCTTAGCATAGCCACTGTGTCATGTCGGGGAGTCTGAAGCTGACTTGGGGTGCTCTTACTCCTACAGATGTGGAGTCCCTGGATGGTGCAGGCAGTGAACGTGCTCGGCCACTAAGCAGAAGGCTGGACTCCATCCACCCAGAGGCCCCCTCCAAAGAAAGGCATGGGGACCAACCTGAAACAAACGGTCACAGAAAACGCTTCAGAGCACCTCCCACTGACACATCTGAGAAACGGCGAGCTCCCAAACCGAGCTGTTCCTCAGTGTCTGTCAAGATTTACACGCTTCCTGCTGTGATTCGTCACCTTCCAGCACCTTCTAGAAGCAAAGGGTTGGCAATGATTTAAGACAATGGCGGATGAACCGAGACACTTGAGGACTCTTCTGCGTTTAGTGAAACTTGTTCACCTTCTGCAGGAGGACTCTTTGAAAAGGTGCCACGAACCACGCGTGCCTCACTGTGCGGGTGAGGAAACTGAGGGAGGCTCAGTGGTTCGCCGGGGGTTTCAGAGCTGAGAGGATGAGGATTAGAACCCAGTGGGACGCAACTGCTGACCACTCCTCTGAAGAGAACATCCCGCAGCCAGAGGCTGGCCTCGAGTCTGCGGAGAAGCAAACCACCCGAGCGTGCCAAGCAGGAGCACACCGCCTTCCCTTCCGGCTCCTCAGGCTTGTGGGCGTCTGCCTCGCGCCTCACGTCGCCTCTGGCACCGCCCCCCGGGACACGTGACCCGCGCCCACTCCCGCGTCGGAGGGTCGCCTGCGGACCGAACCATGGTGGAAGGTTGCGGGAAAGGCAGAGTTACGGCCGCTACAGTGCCGTTGGGCGTAAGAGAGTAAGGCAACTCCCATGAATGTTTGCATTGGGCCAGGCGGTCTTCTTTGGGGTACTTTTGGCAGTCTCCAGCCAACCGAGTATTTTATTTCATTTTGGAATCGTCGGCTCTTTGCCCAGTCAGTAGACGTGTCCAAAAAGCGCTACGTGAAGAGGGGGGTTTTAGAAATGTAAACCAAGTGGTTTGTCCGGTTATCATCTAGTGTATCAAAACCCAAAGAGTTTGTTGAACTTAGGGTTTTCTCTAGTGTTAATTTTCGAGGAGGGTTATATTTTCACACCATTCTGCATACTAACATCATTTCTGAGACCTCCCCTCGGCTCCCCGAATAGTTACGTCCTTCACCGAAGGGCCCGACGGGAGAACGAAGGGGGCGGCTGCCATATTGGACGGAACCAACGCGCTACCACACATGGGGGTAGTTCGCGCTCCCAAAGAGTTTACCTATTGAGGAAGGGAACTTAGTGGATAGGAATTGAACGTTTCGTCGTCCTGGGGACGTTATTACACCGCCGCTAAAGCTGTTTCCCGAGTCGACTTTGTTCCCAGCGCGCCAGGAGGGCTCGGGGCGTCGATGTCCCCCCGCTGTGGGCGCGGTGGTACAGACCCTCCCGGATCGCTCGCACATGGCTCGCGAGTAGGCGCCGGCGAGCGCGCGGGGCGGCCTGGGAGAGTCGGAAGCGCGGCGGCGGCGGCGGAGCCTGAGGTGAGAGAGCCTGTGCCGGGCCCCATGCAGGACGCAGAGAACGTGGCGGCGCCCGGAGTGGCCGAGGAGCAGGCCGAGTCGGGGCCGCAGCAGCCCGCTGCCGAGCCGCCGCCCGAGGAGGAGCCGCCGCGGCCCACGGGGCCCGGGGCTCCGGAGGCGGCGGACGCGGTGACCGAGGCCAAGAAGGAGGTGGCGGCGGTGGCCGAGCCCAAGCTTGAAGCGAAGGCAGAGCCGGCGGCCGCGGAGGAGGCGTCAGAGGCGGCCCCCGGTGCCTCGTCGGGCTCGTCACAGTCGCCCTCGCCGGCCCCCGAGGCCGAAGCGGAGCCCCCTGTCCCGGCCCCGGGGGAGGCGCGGGAGGAACCCCGATCCGAGAGCCGGCCGCAGGCGCCGTCCAGAGAGGCGGCGGAGGACGAGGGCGACGCAGCGGAGGCCGAGCGGCGCGCGGTGGAGAACGGCGACGCGGACGAGCCGTCGTTCAGCGACCCCGAGGACTTCGTGGACGACGTGAGCGAGGAAGGTGCGTGGCCGGGCCCGACGTCGAGACCTGTGCGTCCTGACGGGGTGGTCGGAGGCCCTAACGCAGCGGGCCGCTCGTTCCCGGCGGGAACCTGCCGGCGCCGCTCGGTGGCTTTGGGGCGCCCCCGGGTGACCTGCCATGGGCCGAGGCCTCAGGTGTGCGCGCCCGGGGGTCCCGGGGCGCCTGCAGACCCTGCTCGGCGGCCGCCGGACGTGCAGCTGGCTCGGCTGGGCTGGTGTGGTCTGCCCGCAGCCCTTCGGACCCGGGAGTGTCCCTGGCAGGGCAGGTGGAGGCAGACCCTGCCAGGTTCCTGTCCGGGGATGTTTCCTGGCCGCCATGCTAGGGCGCCCAGTTAACTTTTCAGGTTCCACCGCCCAGGCTCCGTGGAAGAAAGTCCTGGTGATTCTTTCCTGTCGACATTGCAGCCCAGAAACCCCGTGGGGAGTTGGGCTGTCACACGGGGTCCCCGTGGGCCTGAACGGACTGCACGCCGCCCAGCACCAGGCAGCCACGGCTCGCTGGGCCTGGTCCGGCCCTGAGCGGGTTCCCGGGCCCGTTTCTGCTGCCCAGAGACTTTGAGAGCTGAGGGTGCTAGTTTCTGTTGGTTATTCTTTGCTTTGTTTTTAGCCAGTTAACTCTCCAAGCTGGGACCACCGGCTCCCTCTGAGTACAGACCACTTTATGGTAACACACGGAAAAGAAAAACACCCCGTTCAGTATCTCCGGCTTGGACCAGCGTTATTCTTACCATGCCAGTTTTTCTTATGGTTAAAGTCTAGATGGTACTGTTTTGGTTCCGGTTGTCATGAAGTCCGTGCCGGCGCCCAGCACCCCCACATGTGTCAGCGTAGGACTGTGCCTCGTGGGGCTTTAAGGGGCTGAGTGTGTGAGAGAGGCCTGCCTTCTGAGGCACCTGTTGGTAAGCCTGAGCTTCCAACCTTTCCTTTAGCAGTTGCGCACATGACCACTCTGCGGTTGGAGCTCTTGACAGCTGAGCCCAGCTAATTGACCCAGGATTCCTACTGTGGTGGTTATTTCTAGAATTGGAGTGTTCCGGTCAGGATGCTGATGTGAGCAGCGGGCGAGGGGCCTCTGCTGTGTGCTACTTTGCAAGTTGCTGTGAGCCTGATGGGCTCAGTGTTTGCCAGTCTGACATAGCGAGTCACCTGGCGCTTGGGAACCAAGGCCTAGTGAGCCATCAGATCCTCGGATCCACTTGGCCGTGGCCAGTGGTCAAGTCTGCTGTGTTATGAGAACTGTCCTTCAGGGTGTGAAATGTCAAGAACAGCATGCTGGTCCTTTTGACAGTGGACCGAGTGTGGAGGAGCACACGCCCCACAGACGAGCTGGCGCCCTCATCTTGCCTTGATGCTTGATGGTGATGAACACTCCCATGACGACATCTTCATCTGTCGTCATCTTTCACTTAATTTCTCAACTGCTGGTGGCTTCTAGCCAACAAATGTGTGATCAAGGTTTTAACTTCAAATGCCTTGTTTTTCAGCAGACTAAATACTGTTTACCTTCGTATTTGCTGTTTAATTTTGAGAATCGCTTCTTGGGAGTCTGTGAACTGAGAGTAACCAGATGCCGGTGCTGGTGATGATCAAGGACATGTGTTGCTTCATCGCCTAGTGTCCTAATTTATTCCCATAATAAATCTCCCATCGTCCTCCTTCACCATGTATGGGCAGGTTCTTATAAAGGAGACGTTTGAAGATTGTGGAAAGGAGTTCATGGTCTGTATCAAAGCAGAACGTTTTATGATGAGCCCTGTAAATTCCAATCAGGCTTAGCAGGCAATTTAATTGGATGGTGAGTGGTGGCTAGGATTTCTGTAGTGAGGTTTTCTGGCATTGCTGGGGTCCTCCCCTCCTTCAGCCCCTTTTTGCTTTTTTGCTTGGTTTCTCTGTTTTTGCTTGGTCTCAGTTTTAGTGTCTTTGAAATCTAGGGGGCAGGTTTTTGTTTTCGTTTTTTCAGTGTAACATTTTCAGTATTCACAAAAGTGTTGGGATTAATTAGAAATAGTTTCTAATGAGGCTTGCCTCCTGAAACTGAAGGTTTTTTCCTTTCTAAAAGACCTTTTTCACTTTTTATTACAAAAAATTTCAAACACGTCACAATAAAAAAAAAAAAAACGTGCAAAAGCAGAGAGAAGCATAATACATAACTTTGGAGAGTGAAATGGAGCAAAAAATATTCTGATGTTTGTCATACTGAGTGTGTTGGAGTTACGAGTATAATAAGAAGAGCAGTAGTTGGGCCCCAGCTGTCTGCAGTTGCCTTCCAGTCGCTACTGGGTGCCTTGGCTCCTGCAGCGCCATCTAGTGAGTGCACTTGGAACATGTCCTTGTGGTCTAGCTCCTAATCTACTAACCCAGCACCTTGTCATTTTACAGGAGCTCTGGTAGCATAGTGGCTAACCAGAAGGCTGGCGGTTCAAACCCACCAGCCACTCCTCGGAAGGAGGGTTGGGCAATCCTACTTCCGTAGTGATACTGCCTCGGAAACCCAAGGAGGGGTCGCTATGAGTTGGGGCCGACTTGACGGCCCATAACAACAACAACAAGGAGCCCTGAGCTCTCTGGTAGCGTAGTGCCTGAGGCACTTGACTGCTAACCAGAAGCTGGTGGTTCAAACCCACCAGCCACTCCCAATCTGGCTTCAGGAAAAACAGAAAGAAGCGATTCTCAAAATTAAACAGCAGATATGAAGGTAAAATAGTATTTAGTCAGCTGAAAAAGAAGGCATTTAGAGTTAAAACCTTGGAAGGAAGGTTGGGCAATCAACTTCTGCAGTGATACCACCTCGGAAACCCAATGAGGGGTCGCTATGAGTTGGGTCCGACTGCACGGCAATGAGTGTGGTTTGGAAGGAGCCCTGTTGCCCAGGGGCGAGGCGCTTGGTTTGAACCCACTAGCTACTCCATGAGAGAACGAGGTGGCAGTCTGCTTCTGTAAAGATGACAGCTTTGAAAACACTATGAGGCAGTTTTACTCTGCTCTGTGGGGTTGCCAGGAGTCAAAATCACCTTGTGACAGTGGGATTTTGGTTTTATAGGCAAGCTCACTAATTGTATAGAATTTGTGTTAAAAAGATGGGATTCCTTTTATTTTGTCTGATACACACTTCTAACCCTCCTGCACCTCTCTCCACCAGCCATTGAGCATTTCTGTTGGTGCTGGTGCTGGTGGAAGGGGCCGGTACCAGTCTCATGTGAACATGTCTGGGCACTGCCCAACTGCAGGAAAGGTGGCCCCCACAGGAGCAGTGGCCTCTCTTGCCTGACCTGTTGGGGTTTGCTCCTCTTGTCTTGGTTTTTGTTTCTTTTATATCTGTCTTCTCTTTTTTTAATTCCAATTGACCATCTTATGGAAATGCAATAATTCTAGGAACTTTGGGGTTGTGTGGTCTTAATTCTAAAAAAGCAGGTAACATGAATGTAACACGCTTTGAGTTTTTGAGTGTAGTAATAGAAGCAGTTGTCTGCAAACAAGGCCTGTTTTCATGGGAGCATGTTACAGGTACTCAACATAAACAGCGCTGGATCACTGATTTCTGGAAGGAAGTGCCTGGTGGACAGTCGCACTGTTTTCCATTTTGGGGTTTTTTAGTTCTCCTTGGGTCACCTGCCTTAAAAATCTGATAATCCAGCAAGAAGGCTGAGAAAGGATGTCCTTGACCTCTTTGTCTTCCTTTGAGTTTTTTTCTGTCCCACTTCACTAAAGACATTTTTATTTTTCTCTCTGGATACCTTCTAGTAATTCATGTTTATGAAAAAGCTTTATGAATGTATTTAGTGATTAGATGTTTAATTATCGACTGAAATCTCGTGGAAGTTTGGTTTTGGACATTTCGGGTGTTGATGTGTGGTTTTTACCTGGAGGCGGCTGGAAGCCGTTTGAGACCTCATGATCTTTCAGAGCCCTAGTGGTGGGCAGCTTTAAGATTCTCCGCTTTGTATCGTCCTTGATTAAAGTCTTGTGGTTTTTTAATCTTTCCAAGTCTTCCTTTAATTGCCAGGACTCATGACGTGTCATGATGGTGTTTATGATCAGCTGTCAGAGGGAGTATGAGGAGGTCAGGTCTTCCAAACACTTCTGTTTAAAGTCTGTAAGCAAACGTTTATTCACAGAGAAAGTGTTTGGATTGGCTACCCACTTTATGCTTCTTGGAAATTTGTTACATGTGCTAAGTTAATGTATTAATGTTACTCTTGGTCAAGAAAATCATTAGACAATCTCTTCATTGTGCAGAATTACTGGGAGATATTCTCAAAGACCGGCCCCAGGAGGCAGATGGAATTGATTCGGTGATCGTAGTGGACAACGTCCCTCAGGTGGGACCTGACCGTCTTGAGAAACTGAAAAATGTCATCCACAAGATCTTTTCCAAGTTTGGGAAAATCACAAATGACTACTACCCAGAAGAAGATGGGAAGACAAAGGGGTGAGTAGTGCTCCCCAACCACTTCTGCTTCTCTTGGGTATCTACATATGTTGAGATTCTTACATGTGTATCTGACACATCACAACACTGCCACATGTGTATATCTGACGTACCATGTGACGACTGCCACAGTGGGTATCATCTGAGACTGTTAACGTGTGTTTGGCACATCATGAGGTTATCAGACGTGTGTTTGACACATGGGACCACTAGACATGTGCCTGACATACCACATAATTACCGTGTTTGTATCTGACATGTCATGAGACCACTATGTGTTTGTATCTGTGATATGAGGTTACCACATGTGCATTTGATGCGTGATTACCATGCATGCCTGACACCTGAGACTCGCAGGGGTGTATCTGCTGTATCATGAGATCCCCACCTGTGTATCTGACATGTCATGAAGCTATCAGCGGAAGGTCACTGTGCATGTGTTGGTATGGCAGTTCTGCTTGGTCATTGATTATTTCACTAGAAGCTCTTAGGAGCAGTGACTTGGTCCCAGGGTCCTGGGGCAGAGGGAGGAGGGAGCTGCAGTGTGGCTGTGGGATCACCATGTAGCACATGGTCTGCTTTGAGACATCAGCTTCTTACTCAGCTGCCCTCAGAGCAGTTACTGACACAGATCCATTCTGGGCGAGGGTCCTTGAAACCGTCACCACAGGCAGGTGTTTGTCGAGATTATGAACTTTGCTGTAATTCATCATTGCAGTGGAGACTTGAGTTGGCTGGGATGTTCGTTTTTGTTGAGCGGTCTGTTTCATTGGCAGTCCTCACTTTGCCTGGAAGTGTGGCACTAGGGGGCATCAGGTTCCTGGTAGTGTGTAAGCCCACGTGTGGTGCCTTTGTGGAGAGGCTTTGTGTGTGTGGAGCATGACCTGCCTCTGTGTACAGTCTGCGTGTTTGCACACTCTGCCCTCCTCATTTCAGGTACATCTTCCTGGAATACGCGTCTCCTGCCCATGCCTTGGACGCTGTGAAGAATGCTGATGGCTATAAGCTGGACAAGCAGCACACCTTCAGGGTCAACCTGTTCACCGATTTTGACAAGTGAGTATAGACTCCGGCACTGAGGTTCTGGTCACCTCGGTGTGTGGTGCCTTAGTGTTCTCGTGAATCCGGACACTCCCCTGTCTGTGGGGTCTTAGTGTTCTCGTGAATCCAGACACCCTCTGTCTGTGGTGCCTTGGTGTTCTCACGAATCCAGATACCCCCTGTTCGTGAAGCCATAGTGTTCTTGGTGGAGTGCTATCAGCCTTGGGGATACTTCAGTTCTTAGTGGCTCAGGCCCGTTCAGGGCTGGTGCACAGCTCTGTCCCCTGCGTTCACTGGTTAATCCAAGTGTGCTTTCCTTCATTCCCTGAGGAGGAGGGGGCAGTGTCCCACTGCCTGAGGTGGGAATCCACTCTCATAGAGTTGTGTAATGGCCATTGTTATGCTAGTAAACGTGTAATGGCCCTTGTTACGATAATAAACATTCCCATTGCCTTTCCAGGTATATGACAATCAGTGATGAATGGGACATTCCAGAGAAACAGCCTTTCAAAGACCTGGTATGTTGTAGAAAACTTTCATCCAAGTACCTAGAAGAGCCTGAGGGAGGAGTCCCTGGTGCTGGAGTCAAGGGTGCTGACTGCAGTGGCCTTGGCTCTGAGCAGTAGCTGCCTGTGAGTCGTCTTTCTCAAGCTTCATGGTGTTGGGTTCCTGACCTTTGGCTTTCTTTCTAGGGAAATCTACGCTATTGGCTTGAGGAGGCAGAATGCAGAGACCAGTATAGTGTGATTTTTGAGAGTGGGGACCGCACCTCCATATTCTGGAATGATGTGAAGGACCCTGTCTCAATTGAGGAAAGAGCGGTATGTTTGCTGCCCGCCAGGCCTCTTTCTGTGTTTTCCCAACAGGAACTGCTGTTCATCAGGAACTCAGACAGGAGTGGGTGGAATATCGTTTTCTTTGAAATGATGTTTCTGAGAACAACTTTGATCCCTCTGCCAGCTGTAAATAGGTCACAAGAAGCAAACAGGCTTGTGTTGCAGTTATGAGTGTAAGGGGTGATCCTGGTGAGGGCCAGACAGTGTGACTGTTGTAGTTGGGTTTATTGAGTTGTACATGTGAGAAATGGTGAGTGGGCAAGTGCTACGTTCTTGATACTCTCAAAACAATAAAAGCTTCTTGAAAACTGGCTTTGCCCAATAAAAACATTGAATGGTAAACAGTGTGAACTCGGAGGAAGAGGGGTCTGTGTGTCAGGCTTTCCAGGCTTGTGTTTATGGTGGTGCTCATCTCCCTGCAGAGATGGACAGAGACGTATGTTCGCTGGTCTCCTAAGGGCACCTACCTGGCTACCTTCCATCAAAGAGGCATTGCACTCTGGGGCGGAGAGAGGTTCAAGCAGATCCAGAGATTCGGCCACCAAGGGGTCCAGCTCATCGATTTCTCGCCTTGTGAGAGGTGAGCTGTTAGGAAAATGACAGCTTCATTCTTTCTCCTTCACGCCAGCCTCTGCAGATAAGTTTTCAAAACTTTGTATTCTGCCATTATTTCAAACTTAATAGGAAAACTGGAAGACAATGAGTTCACACCCTTGACTGGGTGCTGCAGTTGTTGAAAGGATCTTTCTTCTTGCTGCCCTCTGCTTTACCCAGCATGAGGTCCTCCAGGGATAGTCTTGTTTGGTGACACAGCCAAAGGAGCATTCTGGCTGTTTCTTCCAACACAGACGTGTTTGTTCTTCTGGCAGTCCATGGTATGCTCCATGTTCTTCACCAGCACCGTGATTCCAAGGCATCAGTCTCCCTTATTCACTGTCCAGCCTTTGTGTGCATATGAAGCGATTGCAAGTACCATGCCTTGTGTCAGGCGGACCTTAGTCCTCAAAGTGACCTCTTTGCTCTTTCTTTCCTTTTTTTTTTTCCAAACTTCTATTATGAAAACATACATGAGACATTTGCCAACATAACAACTTCCGTGTTTATCCCTCTGGGACATTGATAACATTTTTCATGTTGTGCCACCATTATTGCTGTCCTTTTCCAAAATACTCCATCACAATCAGCATAAATCCAGTGCCTCTTAAACAGAAGCTTCCCCTTTCCTCCTGCCCCTGGTAACCACTAATGCTGTGTGTGTGTGTGTGTGTGTGTATGACATAGTATTTTTTTTTACTCACCATGTCTAGGGTCTTTGCTCTTTAAAGAGGTCTTTTGCAGCAGATTTGCCCAGTGCAGTATGTCATCTAGATGGTTTCTTGACTGCTGCTTCCATGGGTGTTGACAGTGGATCCAAGTCAAATGCAGGCCTTGACTACTAAAATATGGGGGGAGGTGACTTGAGTCATAGTTGTTAATCTTGCTAACCAGGACATAGAAAGAGGCTTACCTGAACAGGTTTACTGGAGGTGTGGTTGGAAACTAGTTTGGGGGCTGCTTCCTTCTTTGTATTCTGTTTGTTTCTGCCTGTCCACCCTCCCGTTGTTGTAAGGGCCAATGTGATTTGGAACTTTGTCACTTTGAATGAACAAAACAAAAGTGCCATAGCTTTAGGAAAGCCAGCTGGTGGGTAATTGATTCCTGGGAGAAGCCTAGGCACGAGAGCACCCCTCTGACGTAGCCTTGGTTTGGAAGCCTTGTGACCAGCTTTCCTGTTGACCTGCTTCCTCTTTCCCGCTGAGCACCAGTGAGGACAGCACCCAGGAGTTCCACACCATCCCTCCCCTGAAGGACACCCACAGACTGCTGTTCAGCACCAGTTTGGTCATTCCTTGTCCTGACTTTAGCAGGCATAAGTGTTGGGGTGACTCGGTGCGGTAGTTCCTTATCCTGACTGTAGAGAACACACATGTTGGGGTGTCTTGGTCTGGTCATTCCTTGTCTTGACTGTAGCAGACACATGCTTTGGGGTGACTCTTAGGGTGCTCTGAACTGTGAGAAGGTGTCCCGCTGCATGTCCAGTGACCTTGTGACAGGACTGTACTGGGACACTGTTGCCAAGGAGGCATAGTGACTTGGGAGATGTGCTAGGTTCTGGGGCCTGGTGCTTGTCTGGCAGCATTGGCTGTGCTGCCAGTAAGAGTAACAGTCGTCAAGGTTGCTGAAGCTCGGTCCTTCAGCTGTAACATGGGGCACTGATCTTGAGAGAGGTGAGGAGGCAACAGGGCCAAGTGTTACACAGAGCCTGTCCCCTCCTCTTTCAGATACCTGGTGACGTTCAGCCCCCTGATGGACACGCAAGAAGACCCTCAGGCCATCATCATCTGGGACATCCTGACTGGGCACAAGAAGAGAGGTTTTCACTGTGAGAGCTCAGCCCACTGGCCTATCTTTAAGTAAGTCAACTGGTCATTCCTGCTGGTGGTCTCTCTGCAACTTTTCCTTTGACGTTGGAGCAGCCTGGCACCTCTTTATTCTTCTTGGCAGGTGGAGCCATGACGGCAAATTCTTTGCCAGAATGACCCTGGACACCCTCAGCATCTATGAAACGCCTGTGAGTGATGTCTGTGGTCTGGGACGGGAACTCTCCTGTCAGTTGCTTGCAGCTTTGTAGTGCTTCCCCTTGGTGGGCCCCAGACTAAACAGGAGGGGCTGTGGTAGTACCCAGTCCAGGCACGCCTCCTGTGCCTATGCCCTTTCTCCTGTCCAGGACCCTGTAGTGCTCCAGCCTGCCACCAGGTACAAGGGCGGGGTGATGAAATGGCACCTGTCGCCTCCATCCTATCCTGTTCTCCAGACAGACTCACACCAGAATCTCCTAAAAAAATTGTGTGAATTACTGAGACATTGGCATGGTCTGACTCAACTGTTAATCTTGTTCTTTTGGGCAGTCTATGGGTCTGTTGGACAAGAAGAGTTTGAAAATCTCTGGGATAAAGTAAGTGGATGTTCTCCTCGAGTCTTTTGGAACTGGCTTGTGTTGGGTAGGCCTGGGCCTGGGGCCTGGGCGACTGGTCAGTGAGCCCCGTCACCTCCCAGGGCGCTCACCCGACCTCCCCCTGTCCCACCCAGGAGCCAGTCTTTCTGGCGGTAAAGCATCCTGGGTCAGCTTTCATTGAGGTTTCCATTCTTGAAGTCTTCTGAGGAAGAAGGGGAGACTCGTTCCTGGGGGGGCTTACTGGCTACCTAGGAGGTCTGTGGGATGGGTCAGGTCACAGAAAGTGGGCATGGTTTCATTTCACTTCAGACTGCTCCATTTCTTCATGAGGATGTACTAGCAGCCCACCAGCACTCATGTTTCTTATTTTTATAGTCACATAATTGGGCAGAAATAACAGCTTCTAATGAAAGAGGAAACCAGGAGATTGTTGTCAGTACGTGCAGAGCAGACTCTCCTGTGCAAGAAGGCTTCCAAGTGGGAATCCTGAGCTGCTCGTGGCCGTGGCCATCCCCAGTTCCCCCTCTTCCTCTTACACTTTGTTGCTGGTCGTTTCTCCCCTCTGACGCCTGAGCAGCCTTCAGAAGCCATCTCGTTGAGTCTGTTTCTCTTGTGTTGGGGCAGCAGTATGTGACGTTATGGACTAGGTCTGAGTTTGAATTCTCAGTCTGTGTATGACAGCGGGTAGATGACAGCACTTCTGTTTCCTCGCCAGCCTGGCGCGAGGGAGGAGCCTCGGGTGTCTGCACGTCAGGTGCCGGCACAGTGCTGACAGATCGCGCGCCACAGTGCTAGCTGCTTTCGGCTCGTCACTGGTGGCCGCCGTGCCAGCTTTCCTGCGTTCATACCAGAAAGTTGTTGTTAGTTCTCTTCTGCTGTTTGTTTTTACAGTCAGGCTGTGTTTGCATGATGTTCAGTTTTGTGTGTTCTGCAGGGACTTTTCTTGGTCTCCTGGTGGTAACATCATCGCCTTTTGGGTGCCTGAAGACAAGGATATTCCAGCCAGGGTGACCCTGATGCAGCTTCCTACCCGACAGGAAATCAGAGTTAGGAATCTGTTCAACGTTGTCGACTGTAAGCTCCATTGGCAAAAAAACGGAGATTACCTGTGCGTGAAGGTGGACAGGACTCCGAAGGGCACCCAGGTGAGTGGGGCCGTTCCTTACACTCGGCTCGGAATGAGGGCCGGTGTGTTTGGAGGATTTGCTGTCAGACACACCTGACACCAGAGTAGTTGGCTCTGTCATATAGGTTGAGCCCCTGTCACCCTCTGAGTGCGGAGACACAGAATTTGTTTTAAGAAAACCCTTGGAATGGGCAGTGTGTTCCCATGGTGTGGCCTCAAGTTGGTGGACACTGGGGTGTGATGAACATTGCATTCTGCAGTTTTGACTGAAGGTCATACCACGTTTATAAAGAGTCTCTTTTTCTTTTTTGGACTGCAGGACATTACATTGCTTTGATGGTTGTCTAGTCAGTCTCCATTGGTGGACACTTAGATACTTCAGAGCTTTTGCAAATAAGCTTAAATGAGTGTCCTTGTTCCTGTTATGATTATGAGGGTAATTCTTGAAGTGGAATTTAGGTCGGTCAGTGGGCACCACACCCACTGCCCTGGAGTCGATCCGATTCCTAGGACACCTAGAGGGCAGAGTGGAACTGCCCCAGAGGGTTTCCAGGGTTGTCAGTCTTTATGGAAGCAGACTGCCTCATCTTTCTCCTGTGCGTGGCTGGTGGGTTTGAACCACTAATGTTCCCGCAGCCCAGCGCTTTGCCCCCTGCACTGGCAGGGCTGTGCACAGTATCTCCATGGCCTGTTGTTCTCCTTGGAGGTTATGCCAGTCTCTACGTCTGTCAGGAGTAGACGGAGCAGGTCTCCTTCATCTCTGGGTCTTGGGAGTCACCTCAGACCCCGCATGTCTGGAGTGTGCAGCAGCTGCAGAAATTCCATTTTCATTAAATGCTCACATTTTCTTTTGATGAACTTTGTCTCCTGCTCTCAGCTGCAGATTGTCACCTCTCCTTTTGTTTTTTTTTCCACAGGGTGTTGTCACAAATTTTGAAATTTTCCGAATGAGGGAAAAACAGGTGCCTGTCGATGTGGTAGAAATGAAAGGCAAGTTTTCTCTTGGTCGTGGTACAGCTGAACCCGCCTCTTGCGCTCACGTGGCTTTCCAGCGGTGCCAACTCAGCTTGAGCTAGACTCTGGTGGGGCCTGTTCCCAAGCTCCGGTTTTCCTTGTCCTCTCCCGCTTGCATCTCCTGTTTCCCTGCTGAGAGGGGCCAGCCCTCCAGGTGTCTTTCACCCTGAGAACAGGGGATGTGCGAGCAGTAAGTTTTCCTACACGTGTGGCCACAGGCAGCCAAGCACTTCATCTTAGTATAGATACACGTTCTCAGTTTAAAAGGACTGGTTGCATGTTGGTCGGTTGGTTTGTGTGTTGGTTTGCTTCTTTAGGGCCTGTAGTCATTCTTGTATGAGTTAGTGGCTGTTTGCAGTATTGATGACCTGTTCTAATGAAAGAGAGTAATTTACAAAGCGGATTGTGTTTCACCTGCTTGAGGCCAGTGGTTTTGACTCCCAGGAGAACTGTTTGGTGCTGTGTCTTTTCCTCTAAACGGGAAACATAGCCTGTGCTTTTCAGTTGTTCCCTGTTTTGCCAGGAAGAGCAGAAGGAGGGGATGGGACAGATGAAGAACTGGGTGTAAAACTCGGTCATGCTGTTGGTAGGAAGACATTTTTAGGCCCTTAAGGTCCTAGTTCTGCTGTAAGCCTGACATTGAACGTGAGAAAGGTCATGTTTGTAAGTGACTGACGAGCTGGGGCTCAGGGCTCTGTAGTCCTGTGTGGGGAGGGGTGGAGGGGGAAGGCCCTGCCCATGGGGAGTGGCACTTCACAAGTCGTCACCCACAGAGACGCCGCTTTCACCCTGTGTGACCTGTGCCTTCTGCCGTTGCTTGCTGTGTGCTCCTTTCAGTGCAGTTTAAGGCTGGGAGGCTGTTTCTTGGTTGCGTAGTGAGAACTGTGGGGTTGAGGCTGTTGTCTGGTGTGAGAACCATGGGGTTGGGGCTGTTGTCTGGTTGTGTGCTGAGAACCATCTGATTGATTGGGAACATTGTTTCTGGCTGTGACCTGGGATGGCACTGAGGGTGTTCATGTGCTTGTTGATTGTAGAAACCATCATAGCCTTTGCCTGGGAACCAAATGGAAGTAAGTTTGCTGTACTCCACGGGGAGGCACCGAGGATATCCGTGTCCTTCTACCACGTTAAAAGCAACGGGAAGATCGAGCTCATCAGTGAGTAGGCCCGCCCTGTTGTGGAGCAGGGAAGGTGTCTCAGTCTTTGCTCAGTATGGCATGGTGCACTTGCCTGGGGCCCACTGCTGTCGGCTCTGTTCACACAGAAAGAAGGTCTCTGGGTCTCAACAGCGCAGATGTGGGAGAACAGTGGATGGTGCAGGCATGCTGCCGCCACAGGGCGCGGTGGGCTCCCACTCTGGTCTGCTTGAGGCCTTGATTCCCCTCATGGCTGTAGCTGCAGTCTCCGGGTGTGGGGGTCACCCCCTTGCACGTAGCTCTGTCCTCTCTGTTTCCACGTACGCCGCAGAGCTGCTGTGTGTAGGCATGTCCTGCCCACAGATGGACTCCAGATGCAGTAGGCAGTGGGAGCAGGGGCCAGCCCAGCAGAGACGCTGCCATGCACGTCCGTCCCGTGGCAGTGCCAGCCCATGGGCTGTAACTCTTGTCTGGCCCCCGTGCCCAGCTGTGCTCGTGCTAGGCCTCCTGCTGCTTACCTCAATTTGTGTCTGTCCCGTCTACACAGTACTGGTCACTGAACGAGTGATCCTGCTCCACATGGGTTTTCCTTATTCGGGAGACTGCTGCCAGGCGGTCAGGACTCCACACAGCTTTGTCTTGAGGCTGAGCTCAGGCTCCCCTGCCCTGCGATGCCCTGTGCAGGAGTGAGGGTGAGATGTGGGGGCACTAGCCACCTGCCCTACAAAGTGGGTCTGGGGCAGGAGTTTCCTATTGCAGATCGGCCTGCAGAACAGTGGACTAGCCAAGAATTTGCAGGGAGCTGCTATGTCTTTGGGAAGCGGCCACCTGTCAAAAATTGAGTTCTTAGTTCTTCAAAGCTGGGCAGCTTCTGTGGTTGAATCATCTGTGTATACTGGCTACCGGTACACAGGCCAGGTGCTCTGTGGGGAAAGCATCTGATTGCTAACCCGAAGGTCGGCTGTTCGGACTCACCAGCCACTCTGGGGGGTGTTACTAGTTCCCTTTGGTATGAGGAATACAGTCAGCTACACGAACAAGCAACACACGTGCTGCCTGCTGCACGCTCTGCATAACGTGGCCTCCTCGTGAAGGTTCAGAGCCCGCGTTGGGATGACCTGCACTCTTGACATCTGCAGGGGATCTGCTCGTGGGGTTTCTGCGTTGTCGCTGGTTCTCGTGTGAAGATCCTCGTCACAGCAGCTGCTCTGCAGCTCTGCCTCCAGTGTAGGCTGAGACAGATGGCAGCCCAGACCACCCCCGGCGCCTGACGAGGGGGCAGGGGGCTAGGCTGCGTCCTCATCTCCCTCTGCTTGGCTCTGCGGAGTCCTCAGAAGGATGGTCAGTGTGGTCGGTTTTTGATGTACATGTACCTATAAAGATGTGTGAGTCCTGGAAAAATGAGGCCACATGTCTGAGGCTGACAAAGCTGTGGCCCCTCTCTGGTTGAGTTAGGGCCTCTGTGGTCATGAGTAAGTGGAAGGGACTCTTAGGACTTCTTCCTGGTGAGATGAATTGATACCAGTGTATGAAGCCTTTATGGCATCTCCTCCTCCTCTCTGTTTGTTTTAAAGTATAGACCGTAACTTAAAAACCCACTACCGTGGCGGGTACTCAGTGCCCCTAGAGGACAGACAGTGGAACTGCCCCAGAGGGTCTCCAAGGCTGTCAATCTTCACAGAAGCAAAGCCCCAACCACACCCACTGCTGTGGAGTCCATTTGAACCCGCAGTGCCCCTAGAAGACAGAGTGGAATTGCATCAAAGGGTTTCTAAGGTTGCTGCCTTTCTGAAGCCGACTGCCTCATCTTTCTCCTGCTGGGCAACTGGTGAGCTCAAAATGCCGACCTTTGGGTGAGCAGCCAAGTGCTCAGCCACTTTGCCACCAGGGCTCCTCCGTGATAACTTGAGATGTATTTAAATGGCGGGATTTCTAAAATTTCCTCCTCAGACAGCCCATGCTTCTGGCCTGTGGAGGGTTCTGGCTGACAGTGGCCGTGCAGCACTGCCCCTGGGGCAGCGTGGGCAGCTGCTGAGGCGTAGGGCCGTGCAGTCTAACGGGACCTTTGTTTCCTTTCAGAGATGTTTGATAAGCAGCAGGCCAACACTATCTTCTGGAGTCCTCAAGGGCAGTTTGTTGTGCTGGCCGGCCTGAGAAGGTGGGTTTCTGCTCTTTGACAGGTGAACTGCTCGGTGTGAGTCATGGTCCGCTTCTGGCTGCTGCACAGCCAGCAACAGAACCTGCTAATGGCTGGGCACTCTGCCTGTGAGACGGTACTGTCACTCCCCGCGGCACGAGAGTGGGCCCTGCTGCTGCCAGCATCATCCCAGGGTCAGGAGACAGGCGTAGTCATGCTTGGTGCGTCCCTCAGACACCGACACGCTCACTCCCAGCCACATGAGAGCAGGCTCTGGCCTCTCCAGGGTCAGGAGACGGGCATGATCATGGTGTATCTCTCAGATGTCCAAGCCTCGGGCCAACCCAAGTCGATGAAAATGTTGAAGTGCTTTTATTGTGCACCTGTGGACATGTCAGTATGTTAAACGAGTGTCCTTCCAGCAATCCACTCACCCTGGTGCAAAATCCCATCTTCTTCCAGGAGATTTACTGAGCCAATTGGGAGTCTGTCTTTACCTGTGAGATTAGTGCAGCAGTGACTGTAGAGCTGTCATTCCCCTTTGAGTTACTATCCCAACAGAATGTGAAGAGACGGCTAATGTTCTGAGTTGAATGAACGTTTTTAGTTGCATACTTGAATCTTGGAGATAACACTTCCTGTAAAGACTTTGACAGCAGACCCGGATATTCCTACTACCACGTACATCATTTCCCATGAAGTAACTCGTGTGTCTCCGCAGTGGCCCTGTGAGATGGCTGCTGTTGTCACTGCCATGTTAGGCAGTGGAGGGGAGCAGGGGGCGATGCCCACGGCCACACGGCCGGTCTGCAGAGGCTGCTTCCCCAGTGCATCTCTTGGCTGGCGCACTAGGCTATTTTCCAAGAGATGGAAATGCTCCCCGAGACTGTGCTGTAAACGGAGCACGTTTGTCTCCACAGTATGAACGGTGCCTTAGCGTTTGTCGATACGTCCGACTGCACGGTAATGAACATAGCAGAGCACTACATGGCCTCCGACGTCGAGTGGGACCCTACAGGGCGCTATGTCATAACGTCTGTGTCCTGGTGGAGCCATAAGGTGGGAGACCGGGGCCCCCTGTCAGCAGTGGGAGACAGGCAGGGGTGAGGCAAGGTGGGTCCTGCACCTGCCCCGGGTGGCACCTTCCCCTCCCCTCAGGGATGCAGCCAGCATGGCACCAGTTCCATCTCCCTCTTTGTCCTTTGTGGTTGTGTTTTTTTTCCCTTTGAAGCGTTGACCCCACCCTGTTTTGAATGTGAACATGCACACCCTGGTCCCTCTCTCTCCATGACAAGCTCTTGCCACTTGGAAGTAAGTGCTGGTCTGCAAGAGAGAAAGTAAAGCGTCTCCTTGTGAGGAGGAATGGCGTCAGCTGAACTGTGTAGTGGTGTAGTTAGTCTTGGCATGAGGTCCCTGTCCCAGACCAGTCGTGGCCAAGCCCGTGCTCTGGTGAACCTGTGCTGGGTACTGAGTGACTTAGCGTAGTTTAGTTGCTGCTGATTCTTCCTTTTGCTGAGGGAGCTCAGTGCAGGCGGGGATCTTGGGTAACCGCACTAGCCTGCTGGCTCCCTGTCTCCCTCCTGCTTGTTGGGAGCTGAGCGCAGGCAGGCATGCTGATCTGGGTCACCGGTGTGCCACCTGTGGAATGAACTGCTTGTTAGTTGCACTGACAGTGGAGATTGCAGGCTGGGGGTTTCTGAGCCAGCTGTCAGTGATGGCTGTTTGTCCCTCTGCTCTAGGTGGACAATGCGTACTGGCTGTGGACTTTCCAAGGACGCCTCCTGCAGAAGAACAACAAAGACCGCTTCTGCCAGCTGCTGTGGCGGCCTCGGCCCCCAACACTCCTCAGCCAGGATCAGATCAAGGTCTGTGGTCCAGTCAGGTTAAGGGAGTGAGGAGGCGGGGGTGGCACCGGAAAGAAGAACCAGGCTGTGTTGCTGGAGTGACACTGAGTGGGAGGAACTAGGACACACTTTGAAGAGGTGCCAGACCAGCAGGAGCTAAGTGGGAAAGCAGCAGCAGTGAGGCCGGCATCCGACGTTCCTGGGCTCTTTCACATTCTTAGGCTCTTGAAGGGTTTGTTAGTATCATCCCAGGAAGCTGTGCTGCTAAGATCCTGCTGGAATGAGAGGAAACAACTGTAGGATGTACGGGATTCTGGTGAAATAGGGAGCCCTGGGGTGCAGTGGGTAAGGTAGTCCACAGCTAACCAAGATGTCAGTGGTTCAAACCCACAAGCTGCTCTGCAGGAGGAAGATGTGGAAGTTTGCCTCTGTAAAGATGGATAGCCTTGGAACCCCATGGGGCACGTCTGCCCTGTCCTGTAGGGGTGCTGTGAGTCGGATTTGACATGGCAGTGGATTCAGGCTTCTGAGGTTTGGTGAAATAAGCTGACAGTATCACAAGCGAAGGGCTTGTAAATCGTAGGAAAGCGTCCTAGGCACGAGCAGGCTCGTAGGAAAGATGCAGTACTGAGGTTTTGCGGGCTGTTCGCTCATGGACATGGCTGTTGTGTGTCAGTGACTGAAGAGTGCCTCTCTGGTTCTCACTTGGGATGTTCAGTCCTGACTGATGTGTCTCTCGTTCAGCAAATTAAGAAGGATCTGAAGAAGTACTCCAAGATCTTTGAGCAGAAGGATCGTCTGAGCCAGTCCAAAGCCTCAAAGGTGAACCTTGTGCCCAGAACTGAGGGTAGCTTATGGTCACCATGGCCACGGTCCTGCCCAGAAAGACAACATGGGGGCTGTGGGAGGGAGGAGGCTGTGTGTTGGGTGGTGGGGTAGGGGCTCTGTTCTACCACAGACGTCCTGCTGTGTGACGGAGGCCAGCCAGCACCTAAAGAGTTCTCTGCCCTGGAGGGGCTTGGAGCTGGCGGGCTGCAGCTTCCCAGGGAGCCGGTTTTTCAGAACCAGGAAGGGGCGGTGTTAAAGGAAGGAAAAATGAGGACAAACCTATTATGCTGTTGTCCTTATCCTAAGATTCTCTTTTTCTTGAATAAAGTTCTTACAGCATCGGATTAGGCAGGGGTAGCTCGGGCAAGATATTTTCAGTCTGGTTGGGCAGAAATGGTGGTGAGTTCAGTATCAGTTCAGGAACTTCTGCCCCAACTTTGTAGGAATTGGTGGAGAGGAGGCGAACCATGATGGAAGATTTCCGGAAATACCGGAAGATGGCTCAGGAGCTCTACATGGAGCAGAAAAACGAGCGTCTGGAGTTACGAGGAGGTAACTGCAGCGGTACAGGCCCTGGGTGGAGGCTCCTAGCCTGAAAGTTGGCAGTTGCAGTCCGCTGTGGGGCACTTCGAGGGGGGGCCTGGTGATCTGCTCCCCAAAGGTCCCAGACCCACGCACCTGTGGATTGCAATTCTGTTCAGCACACGTGGGGTCTCCGTGAGTCGGAATGGCCTGGACGACCCCTAGCAACAGCGTTAGTGGCGGGAGGTGTATTTCTCTAGCATGTGTATGTTTCACTGTTTCTCTCCTTTTGTGTCAAGCATTGTCTGGAGATTCTTGTTGGCATGGGGGGAGCGGTCCCTTGGTCCCCAGGCTTCTGTTCATGTTCCTCAGCACAGGGTCTGGCTGTTTACTCATTAGACTCTTGGCTGCTTCCATAGAAAGTATGTGTCATGTGTTCTGGAAGATCACGGTCCGCAAACATGATCTTGTTCATGTTGGCTCAGTTGCCAACTTTTTAGAAAGCTCGGTGGTTCATACCCGCCCAGCGGCTCTGCAGGAGACAGACCTGGTGATCTGGTGCCGTAAAGATGACACAGTCTGGAAAACCCTTTTCTGTCCTATGGGGTCACCAGGGGTCAGAATCAACCCTATGGCCCCTAACAACAGTACCAGCACACTTGTCCCTAAGCATCTCTGGTCCGTCTTAGCCTTTGTGTGTTTCTCTGTAGGTGTGGATACTGATGAATTAGACAGCAATGTTGATGACTGGGAGGAGGAGACCATCGAGTTTTTTGTCACTGAAGAAATTATTCCCCTTGGAAACCAGGAGTGACCTGCAGGCACTGTGGTAAGACTGTCCTGTCCTGGTGGTTAGTTTCTGTTGTGGTCCCGTCAACTCAGAAGTGCCTTTTACACGGCTACAGCAGAGACCCAGGGCAGCGAGGTCTCTGGGGATGTGGAGTGTAGATTAGGGTTGGTGGGGCTCTCTGCAGAAGCTTCTGGGCTCGGGCTCCAAGTTGAGAAATGACTGGCTCTCCATGCCACAGCAGCACCTTAGGAGTGAGACACGGCCAGGGGCACACCGGGCAGGGGAGCTGAGACTCTGGGCAGGGGTGACGTCTCCTAGGAGGGAAGTGGGCCTGGCCAGCGCTAGCTGCTGTGTTGATCAGTCATTGCTCTGTGCTGGGAGCCCCCACGTTAGTCAGGTGTGTGGCTGAGAACTAAGACCCTGGCACTGGGGCCTCTGCACCTGTCCCTGGAAAAGCTGACAGGCATGGGTGGTAGTGGGTGCTGCCTGCTGTAGAGAGACTCACAGTGACGTCGGGGGCTGTGGTCCTGCCGGCCGCCGGTCGTCACGCTGGGGCACCAGGCTGCAGTGAGTCTTGACGTCCTTTCTGGTGTCCTTGGAGGGTGCCTTGTCTGGGTGCCTGGGCCGCACCTCGGAGGGAGTGCCGCTGCTCAGCCTCACCGCCGCTGGCTTGGCGGGCGACAGAGCCGGGGGACAAAGCCGAGCAAACAGCTGTTCTCTGTTGCAGCGTCATCACGTCACGTGCTGGCCCTGAGCTCACCCTCGGGCAGAGCCTGCTCGACTCCGGGACGTCCCTGTGCTCTGGACTGAACGCGCTGGGCTTCGGCCATCTGGACACACTTCTGTGCCTTCAGCCCCACATCCACCGTGGGGAGATTTCAAGGCACTGCTTTCGATTTTCTTGTTTGAGTCTTACTCTTTCAATTGAGCACCACCAGTGTTTGCTAGCTGACTGTCACACAGTGCTGTGGCTGGTAGCTTTTCACCACCGCTGCTGGGGCACTCCAGGCATGCCACCTGCAAACCTTGTCTCCGTTCGTGGAGCTCCTCACTGTCGTCCCCGGTGCCTGGGGCGCCTTGGGAAGGAGCAGCAAGGGCGCCGTGCACTGGCGTGGAGGTGTTCAAGTGCATTGTACCCCTGCCCTCCAGGTTGTGCAGGTTCTCAGCAGGCCGGAACGTGGAATAAAGCAAACCTGTGTGAAAACGCTGTCTCTTCCTCTCTTTAAGTGTAGAGAGCGGCCTCGACACTGATGTCTGTGTCCCTCCCCAGTGGTGGCAGCACAGCTCCTCGCACACTCACGCTTGGCTCAGGGGATCCCACCTGCCGGCTCCGCTCGGTACGCGTGCCGGACAGTCCAGGAACAGCCTCCACCGTTTCTTACTGTGTCTTCTGTGAGAACTGTGTGGTGTTTCACCTGATGAGAGAAGTCTTGGGCTTTCTTGGAGTTACATGAGTTTGGAAATTTGAGTTGAGAGTCGGTTGTGGCCACTGTTGTATGGTTCCCTTTGAATTCTTTTTTCTCTACTGAAAGGGCAGTGAGTGACTCCACATGACTTGAGTCTGGTTTTTATTAGCCGTGTGTCGCCACCGCTCCGTGCCTTGTAACATCATGGTCTCTTCTGCCTCTTTCTTTCTCTCCTGGACTCGAGGTTTCGTTGACAGAGCGGTGATGCGCGCACCAGACAGACTCCGGCTTTGCAGTCCAGCAGCATTGGCAGAGCCGAGTGGTCCTTCGAGATTGGCGGATGAATGCTCTGGGGCAGAAGACGGGCTAGATGCCCACCTGGGACGCTGGGCCCCGGGGCAGAATCCCGGTCTGTGGGTTCTGGGTGGGCCCTGGTGCGGGCCCTGTCTGCAGAAGGCCCTTGGTGCTTTTGCATTCTCACGAGCCTTAACTCTGGCTGTCCTGTGATTCCTGCGGAAATCGGGTCGTCGTCATCGGGTCGTCGTCATAGGCTGCCGAGGACTCCTGGTGTGGCCCTGGAGTCACCCTGGTTTCCTCTGGTGCCTCTTGTGTTGCCGCCTTCAGCGCGCGAATCCATAGTGCTGTGGTTTTGTGCCACAGGTTTTTTTGTCCTTTTCTCATTTTTAGCAGAGCTTCCTGAACATGAACATCTCATTGTCTCGAGCGTCTGCCTGTAATTGTCCTACATAATTTGTAAATAAAAGAGTTTCTGAATCGCTTATACTGCTTCAGTGAAGTCTGTCCTGCAGGAGTGGACTCACGGGCCTGCCTCTTGTAGGGGAAGTCCTGCTCCTTCCTGTGTGGGAGGGGGGACTCCTGTCTGGAGGTGGGGGGTGGTCACTGGGCTTCTGCAGCGAGCTCCTTGCAGGTCGGGTGTAAGGCTTGGAATTGGCTGAGGGAAGAGGAAGTGGATGTTAGAGGTATGCTTTCCTACCTCATCAGCTTCATGTAACTGGCGGAGATTTCCTGGAACCCTCCTTGACCCTAACACCACGTGGGGGGAAATGAATGTAGTCATGACTCCTGCCTTCACAGAACCGTGTGCTGACTGGGTCTAGCGTACGGTGGCCCATGTGCAGAGTAGAACCTGCTCTAAGGTCTTTGGGACCAACTCGGAACAGCAGGACTGGCTCCGTAGGCACCTTTGGGTAGATTTAACCACCAACTTTTTGGCTAGTGGTTGAGGACTCAACCGTTTGTGCCACCCAGAGACCCCAAAACCACCATAAGATTTAAGACGGCTTTGAGCTGGGTCAGTCATGGCCAGTGGTAAGATTGGAGTAGACCCAGGTGTGTAAAATGTGGATGTGCTGGGATGATAACAGGAGAAATTACAGGTTAACGCCCTGGAATGGGACCCTCAGAAGAGGCATAGTGAGCCCTCATAGGAGCCTGAGGTGGGAGAGGGGTTTGCCAGGACCGGAGAGCCACACACATTCAGAGTGCATGTCACTGTGAGCTGGGCATTGTGGGTTCTGACTCTGCTGATCAAAAGGTTGGGTTGCCATGCAACACACACACACATTGCCCTTGTTTTCCAAGAGGGAGATTATGTTCCTAGCAGGGTGCCAGCCTGTGATTTTTCCCTTTCCAGTTACTATTTTGATTCTTCCACATTTTACATGCCCTGGTTTTGTTTTGTCAACCATGACTGAAACAGGAACCCATTCAGAGCTGTGGTTTTAAGCCAAAGCCTGGTCAGAAGTCACAGCTGGCCTGATGGCTGTCAGAGCCTCTGAGTGAGTCACTTAGCACAGGGCTTAGTCTTCATGGCCTCTCAGCGCTGGTCAGTCACTTCATGTGAGGTTTCTCAGACCTGACCTTTCAGGTCCTGTCTGTTTTGGGTCAGAATGCAGGAACAGTTTGTGCCCTTGCCTGGAAGGCGTTCTGTGGCCTGTTTCTCACATTAGCCACACTGTTTCATATACGATGGCACTGTACCTTCCCTCAAGACATGGAAAAGCTGTGCACAGGTGCACGTGGTCCTAACCCGAGTCAGCGTGAGAGGAAGTGGCTCAGGCCCATTCCAGTCCGTTGGGAACATGCATGTCACTAAGCGCCTTTAGAGATGCTGACGTGACTTCGTTAAACTTAGCTGGGACGGCTGCCCTTTGGGGGTGCTGCCCTGCTCCTGGCAGTGAGTACTGCTATGCTCGGGCCTCTTCTGTGGCTGCCCCTCAGCCCCCTGCTGGGCTCAGTGGGAGATGAGAGTAGACGGGCCTCTTGCTCGGGCAGGCTCACCTGAGATCAGGTGAATGCCGTGGAAACCTGGTGTGTTCCTGAGGGACTGGATGCGCTAGTCGACCAAAGGCTGGAATGGTGCCTGGCGCTTGGTCCCCCGGGTGCACACACCACCAGAGGGGCTGCCTGGCACCGTCAGCAGTGTTTGCCGTAGCTAACTGGAAGAGCTAGGCTGTGGGTGCCTTACACACTGTACAATGTGGGCTAATCTGGCTCCCAGGGCTGGCTGATGTCACCTGGGCGGGGCCTGACATGGCTACACTCCTGTTGCCCGGGTCACACCCAGCTAGCTGCATGCCATCCCCAGCCCAGGGCAGCCCGGCCATGCGTGAGATTGCCACTGCTGAGCCCAAGGACCAGCAGCTCATGGTGAGTGACCTCCCCCGGTGGGTGGCCTCCCCCCACTCCTCACTCCCCCATGTGGAGTCCGGTCCCCACTCCTAACCCAGAGCACCCCACAGCTGTCCCCTTCACTCACTGGGACCTACCCAATGCCCTGCTTGTCTTCACCCCCCCACCTCACCCTCGGAGCTTCACTCCCCCAGCCCCTGGCAAGCCCTGGTGCAAATGGTTAACATGTCCGGCTGTTCACGGAAAAGTCAGAGGTTTGGGTCCACCCGGGGGGCCCTGGGAGCAGGGGCTGGTGGTCTTAAGAAAAAGCCCCTGCAAACCCCGTGGCACACGGCTCAGTCGTGACACCCACGGGGTCAGTCAGGATAGAGGCCGTGGTTGTTTGTTTTCCCCTTGCTCAGTCTGCCCATGGCTGAGAAATTCGGGGAACAGCCAGGCCCATCTCCTGGTGAACTCAGAACCTCTGCCCACTTGGCACTTGGGGGAGCTGAGGCCTAAGACTTGCCCCACGTCCCCACGGGCTGATTAGAGAGAGTTCAGATATGACCCTCCCACCACAGGAGAGCGGCTCCTGTTTCTTCTGGGGGTGGGGGGTGGGCTGCACCGACCTGCTTGGGGCCCAGAGCTCTGGGTGGTCAAGGTGGACCCAAAGCCTGTGGCAAATCTGACCCTGAGGCCACTGGCCAGAGGGCCCTGGAGAAGGCCTGGAGGGCTGAGCTGACGTCCAGGCCTGGGACTAAGTGGGCGCTCACTGCCTGCAGGAAGGCGGTGAACCCTAGTGGTGGGTACCGTGGTGGAACAGGGCCGCTGTGTGGCCTCAGGCCACTCACTGCTCCCTTCTGTGCCCCTCCCCATCTGTCCCGAGGGTAAGTGCCATGCCAGGGCTGTCCTCCAAGGCTCTGCCCTTCAGCACTTCACCACGGGCGAGCTGCTGGAAGCTCTGGGGGGGAGGTGGGAGAGTGGGGCTGGGGGCGCCCCTTGGCGGAGCCCCAAACACACACGGCTGTGGCGGCGCTCCCACAGGTAGCCCTGCGAATCCGCCCGCTCAATGATGCAGAAGTGGAGGAAGGAGCCACGACCATCGCCCACAAAGTGGGGGACCAGGTGAGGCTGAGGGGGCGTGGCGCATCCCAGCCCAGCTCTGCTGAGGCTGTGGGATGAGTCCTGGAGGTCACAGGTCACTTAGCGTGTGTCACGGGCACGCTCCATGTCACAGGTGCGCTCTGCTGTGTGTCCCCGTGCTCCGTCCAGTCGTTCATATGTTCCTGCATTCAACAGCCGTCAGTGCCACACATGTCGCCATGGGTGAACCGGGAGGGCGACAGACCAGGGCCTGCTCTCTCCAGGGCACTCTGTGGGGTGGGGACAGTGAACAGAAAGGGAGGGGAGGAGAAGCAGGCAGAGAAAGGCATCGGGGAAGGCCTCCCATAGGTGGGGGACGTGGGGAAGGCAGGCGGTTCGAGGCCCAGGAGCTGGTGTGCAGCCCTGCAGTGCCAGGGGTAGGGGGGCTGGCTGAGGGTGGGTGATGTGAGCAGGCCGCTGGCTGGCTCACTCCGGGAAGCTTCAGTTCTGACGAGGGCCCCGGCGGCCCTGCTGTCCAGCAGGCGGGGACCCCAGCCCACCACCTGCTGCTGAGGACGTCTGCGGGCTCAGAAGCTGAGCTTGTCCCTGAGGCCCTCCCTGCTAAACTAAAGGTGGAGTTCTGAGTGGAACAGAACGTTAGTGGGCCGGGTTGTGCTGTCACTGCACAGGTCGGCTCCCAAGAAGATGCACACTCTGCTGTTGCCGGTGCCGTCCAGTGGGCGCCAACTCAGCAACCGTGTGTACAGCAGAAGGAAGCCCTGCCCAGCCCTGCGGCAACCTCACGGCCATTACTGTATCTGAGCCCATTATTGCAGCGCCCGTGTCTGTCCGTCTCGTAGAGGGTGGTCCCCTTTTCAACCAACCCTCTCCGTTGCCAACCATGATGTCCTCCAGGGACTGGTCCCACCTGATAACATGACCAAAGCATGTGAGACCAAGTCTGGCCACCCTCATTTCTATGGAGGACTGCGGCTGTGCTTCTCCCAAGACTTAGAGGCAAGGGATCCAGCGGCTGGTGAAAGGAAGCCCCTGGCCAGTGGCTGTCCACTGGGGTGGGACACCCCAGAAAACAAAACAAACAGAACAAAGCATGAGTCTTGTTGAATGGAAACAGAAGCGTTTGATAGTAAAGGACATGGCTTAGATATGACCAAAATTTACCTAGGGTTTTTTGTTTTCTTGAACCAAAAGCAGTGTTCTTTTTTTAATAATTACTTTCCCGTTTCGCTGTTACAACGTACACAACCAAACATGTACCCGTTGGCCAGTCTGCACAAGAACAGTCTGGTGGCCTGGGTTCCCGTCTTCCAAGTTGTGCCGCCGTCCCCAACTGAGTGGTTCCTCCCCTAATAATGCTTTGCCCCCTGTGTTTCCTGTCTGTCCTTTTAAGTTGCTGTTGTCAGTTTGCTCCCAGATGGGTAGATCTTAAAAGAGCCCAATGCTCATGACACACATTCTGTACTCAGAAAAACTCACTGCTGTCAAGTTGGATCTGACTCACAGCGAACCCTCCTTGGGTTTCCGAGGTGGTACCTCTATGGAAGCAGACTGCCCAGTCTTCCTTCCAAGGAGTGGCTGGCGGGTTTGAACTGCCAGCCTTCTGGTTAGCAGTCAAATGCCTTAGGCATTCTTTACTAGTTAAGCTAAACTGTTGGTTGTTGTTCTTTTAATTTTTTATCATGATGTGGGTGAAAGTTTACAGAGAAAATTCATTTTCTGTCCAACGGCTCATACACATTTTATTTCATGACATTGTTTACAACCCCAACAATGTAATAGCTCTCTTCCCACTTCCTCCCTGTGATTACCTTTTCCCTGTGTCCTTCTTTCCTATGCATTCCTACCCCCTGAGCTATCTCTCTGTGCAGATAGTATCCTTCTAGTCTCCCCTGTTTGGTGGTTCTAAGGAGTGTCCCTATCTGGTATAAATGTTCACCCTCTACCCATGTCTGTTGTTTGGCTGGAAGCCATGGGAGTGAGTTCAGTTCCAGATCTGAAGGGTGACCAGGGGCCATACACCAGCCTCCATCACACCAGTAAGCCTGGTCTTTTTCTATCATTTTGAGTTGTGTTCCATATTGTTCTCCCACTTTATCCAGGATCTCCTGCACTAATCCTTTTCTGAGTGGTTGATAGTAGTGGCCAGGCACCATCTAGTTCTGGTCTCAGATCATGTAGGCTGAAGTTCATATGGTCCACTCATTCCTTGGACTGATTGTTTCTGTAGGTCTGGTTTTCTTCATTCTTCTTTGCTCTAAGACAAGGAGAGACCAATTGTTGCATCTTAGATGGCCACTTGCAAGCTTTTAGGACCCGTCACTACTCACCAAAGTAGGATGCGGAACAGTGTTTTTGTGTAGTATGTTACGCCAGTTGAGCTTGATGTCCCCCGTGTCCATGGTCCCAAACCCACATGCCCAACAACTCTGTTGTTTGGTTTTAAGAAGACATCAGGGGAGATTTTTGGTTTAAGGACTATCTCAGGGCAATAGTTTCAGGGGTTCATCCGTCCTCCAAGGCTCCAGGAAGTCTGGATTCCTGAAGACTTGAAATTCTGTTCTGTACTTTCCTCCGTTGAATCAGGATTCTTCTATAGACTCTTTGATCAGTACGTTCAGTAGGTACCTGGCTGCTACCCAGTTCTTGTGGTCTCATGTCAGAGGTGGTTGTTTGTGGAGGCAACTGACGTACATTCATGTTCCCTCCTGTTCCCAACTCTCCCTCTTTATGGGAGTCTAACTCCACTTATGCTGTACCGCCCTGGGGGGCTGGCATAGAGCAGGGACCTGGCCATGGACGGAACAGCACACAGTGTGTGTGGGCTCTTGGGGGACGTGGTGCCAGAATCCAAAGAATCCACTGAAGGAGTGGAGGGGCCGTGCTTTGCTGGAGTCTCGGTGGTTCATACTCTGTGCACGGGCCGTGGTTGGCAGGACGTCGCCTTTTTCCCTGGTCCGTCCCAGTCACAGCTCCTGAGCCCATTCAGCATCACAGCAGCACAGGTGTCCACTGACAGGTGACAGGTGACAGATGGTGGCTTCATGAGGTACGTTGGCTGTGAATCGAACCTGGGTCCCCTGCATGGAAGGAGAAAATTCTACCCCTGAGCCACTAGTCACTTCTTTGTGTGTGTGTTACTGATAAAAAAATAACTAGACTTACAAGAAAGGAGGACCCTTTTTCAATGACTTCAAAGACAAATAATAATTATTTGCTGGGGTTGGAAGCATCTCAGAACAGTATCAGTGACCACCAAAACCTGGGCCTTGTCTGGTGTAGGTTGACGGACCTCCCCCCAGAGCGTCCTGGTCTACCTGACTGCCTGCTTGCAGTGTCTGACAGCAGGAGGCCATGCAGCCTGCAGCCGTGGGTCAGCAGGGCCCTCTTGGGTCTCGTCTCCTGGTCTTTGCCCGGCCACACAGCTGGGAGTGACCAGCTCACCCTTGAGAACAAGCATCAGCAGGTGACCCTGGGGTCCCACCAGAGGCAGCTCTGTGGACCCAGCAGCTCGAGAAGCACTCAGAACAGCCGCCCGTGGTGTGATGGCCGCCCTTCTCTTCAGGGTGGCTCTGGGGACCTGTGACTCCAGGAAACAGGGCGATCCTGGGTTTTGTGGGGGAAGGGCTTAGGAGGGAACGGAGCCATGAACAAGGGCAGAAAACTGTGTCTCTGAGAAGAGAACGTTGTTCTAGGGACCTGGGGTGTCAAATGTCCCAGCACCGGATGCTTTGAAGTCGTGAGGGGTACTGGGAATGTGCCTGGTGGAGGAGCACCTCCAAACCAAGTGTGGGTTCGCGGGCACCCCTCCAGCCCTCCCTTTCCCTGGCATACCAGCATTCATGTCCCCTTCTGGGTGTGCGAGCGCGGCGGCCTCAAACCATTCTAGAGCACCCCCGGGCCTGGCCCTGCACCACCTCGAGGTCTTCCTTCCACTTGTTGCTTGGAAGTCAGTCCAGACTCATCGGGCAGTTGCCAGGAAGTACAGGGAGCCCCCACGTCCCTCCCCAGTTCCCCCACCAGGGACACTTTCTCCCTCTGCCTCCCTGCATCCGTGTTGCCCTTACTGACCCATTGAGAGTCAGTTGTGGCCAGGTGCCCAGTGCACCCACACCGCCTCTTGTGTCTTAGAAACTGGGGCTCTTGTAATAGCCCTACATGATGATTAGAACAACACCTCACACCAGCAGTCCGCCAAGGTCACAGCAGCAGCACCCATCGGAAGGACAGGAGACACGTGGGCATGTGGGCCAGCGAGTGTGTGTGGGTTGCTGAGAGAGGCCGCATGGCTTGTCCCCACGGTCCCCGAGGTGTCCGTGTGGAAATTGTCAGCGTGGTGATGTTTGCACCAAAAGAGGTGAAAGCGCAGGAACAAGATGACGTAATGTCAAATCTGCGGACTGTTCAGCTTGGCTGATGTTTCTCAATTTTTTAAAATCATTTCTTCATAAAAAAAGAAAAACTGTTTTTTCTGGTCAAAGACCCATCAGCTGGCGTATCCGACCCTGACCCTCAGCCTGTTTCTTATGACCTCTCCCAGCCGCCCCAGCAGGTGGGCTCTGTGACCACCTCATTTTACAGGTGAGAACACGAGGCTCCGAGAGTTGAGGGAGCTTGTCCGAGGCCTCCGGACTGGTGAGTGGGAGAGCCAGGATTGAAACCAGGCTGCAGGGCTCGGGAGCCTGCCTTCTCAGCCAGCAGGCTCACTCCGCTAGCACCAGGCTAGGAGCCCCTGACCGGAGGCCTGCCCAAGCATTCCTGCAGCTCCTCGGAGCACACGCCTGTGGACTGTGTGGGAGGGCGGCCCTGTAGCCCACCCTTCGATCCTCTCCATGCTGGGAAGGAGAGGAGAAGTTTGAAGCAATGAAGTGTTCACGTTGGTCATGCAAAAAGTGCTGCCCAGAAGTTAGGCCTGGCTCAGGGGCCTAGCCCCAGCCCTGCCCTGACTCCCCCAGGCCTCTAGGCAGCCTCACCTCCCCGGTATCTGTTCCCAAAGCTGTGAGCCTTGGAAGAGGTCTGTAGGGGTGGCTGGCTAGTGGGCTCTTGTCCCTCTCAGTGACACCCTCCCAAGACCCTGTGATCTCCCGGGGGTGAGCCTGACTCCCCCCATCAGCCCTCCTGGAATAAACAGCCAGGCCTGCCTGGCCTCCCTTGCCCTGCGCCTCCCTGCCCGGTGCCTCTGGGAAGGGCTTCTTTGAACTCCAGTCTCCAGAGACCCTAATACACACACTGCATGATTATGTCTCCGCAGGAGCTAGGAGACGCTCTGCTGAGGTGCCTGGGAGGCAAGGAGCAGGCCGGGGAGGGTGGGCCTGGGTTGTCATTGCCTTGCTGTCAAGGTATAAAAACATTTGCCACATGGGCTGTTTGTGACATGCACCCTGCAGTGATGGTGGTACTGTCTCTTTCCTGGTTATCCCACAGAGGGTCTCAGAGCCTCCGGCCATCAGCGTGCCTCCCGCTCCCTCCCCAGTCCCTTGGTCTCTGAGTAACCCTGGAGTGGACCAGTGTGTCCGGCTTCTCTCCCGCAGCACCGTGTCGTCAGAGCTCGTCCGTGGGCAGCATGGGTCAGACTCCATCCCTGTCTCTGGCTGAGGGATAGTCCACTGTGTGGACAGACCACACTGTCTGTCTGTCACCTGCTGATGGACACTGGGGCTGTGTCCACCCTCTGGCTGCTGTGGACAGTGTTGTGCTGAACTCTGGGGCACATGTGTCCGTTCGAGTCCCTGCTTTTGTTCTTGGGGGATATACAGTAAAACCTGCAGAAGCCAGAATCTGTTTAAGGTGGAAACTTACTGGAGAAGGAAAAAGCAAATATTTTCCACCGATAGAGAAGTGGTAAGATTGCACCCTGTCAAGCAGACCCGGAAAAACAAGGCGGTCCCGTGGAGTTGACGGCACCTAGGAGTGGGATTGGAGGGCCACGTGGTAATTTTCTGTTTGGTGTTTTGTGGCAGGTGGGTCCTGTTGTCCCCGAGGTGTACGAGGACACCCTATTTCCCCTTTCCTTTCCTGGCTCGACCCTGAGGTCGCGTGACAGCGTGGCCCGCAGGGTTGTCAGCGCAGTACTTCCTGGCCTGCAGAGCCTTCGCAGCCCCATCCTGTGGGTTCATCAGAGGCCTGGGACCTGGAAGGGCTGGGACAAGGCTGCAGAGGCCGCTGCGTGGTTGCTGGGGGCTTGCTCGTGGCTGTGTCTGGTCACTAACAGGGAAGCCGGGGCTGCTCCGTCGGTGGTGACAGGAGTCGGTGTGGAGGCAGTGTGCGGTGTTAGGGTGCAAAGCTTCCAGTCCTGCCCTTGGGGGTGCTCCCGAAGGAAGTGAGGGTGGGTCCGGAGGTGGCCCTACTGGAGCACAGAGGCCTGTGGTCTCTGGGGGTCATTAGCACAGGGGCCAGGCAGGGGTTCCCTGCAGGGCATAGACTCGGGACGGGTGAGGCCTTTTTCCTGATACTGAGAGTAACCGTCCTCACTGGGAGGACCGCGTGCTGACCCCACTTCCTCTTTACTGCAAGATGGTGGTGCTCATGGACCCCGGTGAGGACCCCGAGGACACGCAGCGCGCCCACCGGTCCCGGGAGAAGACTTTCATATTTGACACTGTTTTGGACCAGCATGCATCTCAGGTGCCCGCCCCGTACCCCCTGACCCCACTGTCCCCCACTGGGCCAGGCCTGCCGTGGATGTCCTCACAGAGCCCTGCAGCCTTCTTCTTTGGGGAGACCTGGTGGCTAAGCTGTCTTGTACAAAGGTGCTGTGGGGCAGAAGACCCAAGCCTGGGCCTGGGGTCATCTGGGCGGCCAGCAGCAAGATGCACCTTCCATAGATGTAGCAGCACCAGGAGCTGGGCCTGTGGGCTGTACCCGTGCTCACCTTCATGCATCCACGCATTCATTCATTCAGCAAAGTGGCACCACGACCACCGTGTGGGAGGCAGACAGCGAGTGAGCAGAGAGGCACGTGTAGGTGCTGTTGCGGGAAGGGGCGGCCAGGTGGAGAGGGGAGACCTTCAGGGAGGGGAGGGGAATGAGCTGCGGCTTGAAGCAGGAATGAGCTGGTGTGGAGAAGGGGAAGGGTCCCAGCAAACATTCACAGCCTGGCTCGGGTGGCCATACAGGGCGGGGCTGGATTTGAACCCAGCGTTGCTCACCTTTACCTTATGGCATCACCACCTTGGGCTCGGCAAGCACTTCAGCTGGGAGCCAGGTCCCGACGCTCCGCCTTATGGAGGCCTTGGGTGGAGCGGCTGTCCTGGTTCCCAGCGCCGCTCTGACAGGAACATACCATGAATGGGAGGCTTGAACAAACAGTTTATTCTTTACAATTTGGGGGCTTTAAGCCCAAGTTCAAAGTGCCAGGCTCTAGGGGCTGGATGGAAAGCCCCTCAGCCTTGGGCTTCAGCTCTGCCTCCTGCTCCCGGCCCACTGAAGCTGGAGGCTTTTCTTCACTCAGCTACTGGCTGCTGAGGCTGACAAACCCAGGGTTGACAAGTAATGAAGCGCAGGCCCGGTGTTACCAAAGCACATGGCAGGCCACTAATTCAAGTCCATTCAAAGTCCCAAAATCGGCCGAGCATGGTAGCCAGGCTGCTGAACAGTGACTCGACTATGTGCAGGGTTCAAGCGTGCTGTGAGCTAGAGACCATTCTGAAAGCTGCGGCTTCTGTGCAGGGAGCAGACCACATCCCTAAAGCAGCTACTCAGCTGCTCACGGTCCATTGCACATGGAGCTGATTGCCAGTCTCATCATGGGAAGAACTACCACCAGCTGCCCGGCCACTCACCCAGGCCCAGCTGAGTTGACACACAACCTTAGCTACCACTGTGGGATTTGAAACCGCGTCTCCTGAAGTGGGATGTCCAGGGCAGTGATAGGTGGGGATGTTTAGCTCCAGGGCAAAGCCCAGAGAAGGACAGGGTCTCGTTCACGTTGGCCCCACCTCCAGGTGATATGTTCACCTGGAGAGCCAGGGCACCCCCTGCCCTGTCCCCAGAGACCCCAGGCTCCCAGTACGAGCAGTTCTCTTCTAGTTATTGCTACACATGGTGCCAAGAGCACTGGCTTCAGTCTGCCGGCTGGCAAGTTCAACGAGGTGACCGTCAGGGCCCAGGGGTGCAGTGGAAGTGGGGATTCTCATTCCAATGCCCTGGACTTGTTCAAGCCTTTCTTGGCTTGAATGCTCCTGTGGACAGGGAGCTCAGTGCCACACTGTCTCATTGCTATATTGCTGCCTTATAGCAAATTTTCCTGGCCTGAAACTTTCACCCTCTGCTTCCAGTTCTGTCCCCTAGACAGGACACAGATTTCCAAATGCTTTTGGTAACTCTCAGCACTCTGTACCCTTGTGGATCCTTCTCAATTCCTGAAGAAGCCCTGGAAAGAACTCACACCTGTTTAGTACCTCCTGTGGGTTAGGCCTGCTGGTGGGAGCTGTCCATACATTCCCACTGCCCTGCAAGCACCCTGTGCGGTCAGCACTGCCCTTCCCGACCCGCAGACACACATGGTGGCCCTTGGCTGGCCTGCTGTGGATCATGCAGGATTGGCCCTCTGTGTGGCTGGGGCTTCCTCTTGGCATGGTGGCTGAGAATAGCCAATCTCCCAGCTGTTTCCCAGTGCTCCTCTCTGAACTACGCCCCCTGCACCTCTCCAGTGGGAAAGGGACACTTGCAGCTGCCACACTCTCGTTCTCTCCCACCAGCCAGCTCCTGACTCAGGCTGAGCTGTCCGCCTGACTGTCTGTCCTTCTGTCTGTCCACAGGAAGATGTATACTGTGCCACCACCCAGCGCTTGGTGGAAGGCGTCATTTCCGGATACAACGCAACGGTGTTTGCCTACGGCCCCTCAGGTACACTAAGTGTAGTGTCTCCAGCAGTAAATGGGCCACTTCAGAGAGTGGGCGGGTGGTGGCGACACCCTAACACGCGGGGCACCTCCTGAGCTGGTGCCCTGCTGCGCTGTGCCACGCAGGTCTCCCTGGCTCCTGTCATCCTTTCCATGGCCCTGAGGGTGCTGGCGTGATTCCCTGGTGGAGATGAGGGAGAGAGTGGGGAAGGCAGAGCGGGGTCCTCCGGCCCCACGGCTGCTGGGTGGGAACGGGCGTTGGCCCCAGTCGGCCTGGGCTGCTATGAGAGCCCGGGAAGTCCTTCCTGCGGTTACAGGCGGCCTCAGCCTGTGCCCCATCCACGGAAAGTCATGTCCCCGAGTGTCAGAGCCAGGTGTGCCCAGCATGGCCCCCATTGTGCAGATGGGGAAACAGGCCTTGAGAAGCCGAGGGGTCCAGAGTCACGGCTTGTCTGTTTCGTTCATTCGTTCACTCCCTCAGCAAGTTCAACGAGCGTCTGTGATGTGCCAGACTGACCATGAACTCTGTGGGGGAAGTGAGGCCCTCCCTAAAGGTTAACAAGTTTGCTCTCTTAGAAAGACAAGCCCACCGTGTCTTCAAGGGCATTTGGAGGGAGAACAGAAGTCGGTAACTGCCCACCTTGGTACTGTCTGCGGGTTTGTGCTCTGGTCTGAGCCGGGTTCCCTCCGCAGGGTAGTCAGCAGGCTGTGAACACGGGCTCCCTGCTCCCAAAACGGGCAACAACAGTGTCTGAGCAGCCAGGACCAGGCCGGGACTGTTTGCACAACAAAGGTGGAGGGTGTGACAGCCGCCACCTGGGCCCCCTGCTGTTCGGTTTTTAATAACTAGGTTTTGGGGCAGTTTCAGGTTTAGAGCAGGGTTGCACAGGCAGGGAGCTCCCAGCGTCCGCTCTGTCCCCTGCGCGTGGCTGCTTCAGCTCTTAGTGTCTCACGCTCCACGGCGCTTGTTACAGTGAGTGAACCCGGCCCATTACTGGAAGGAAGGTCCACAGTTTTCGTGAGACCTCTCTCCTCATGTGGTACAGGTCTCTGGGTTTTGACAGACGCGTGCCCGTCACAGCCTCCTGCGGAGTAAATAGTCTCACTGCCCTGGGCGTGCCTGTGCGCCCCTTTCATGTGCACATCACCCCACCCATTTCCAAATGGCAGCCGCCACCCCAAACAGAAACTCACTGCCCCTTCAGCAACATTTCCTGGGCTGCTTCTCCCAGCTCTGCGCATCTCTGGGCGCCTCCCCGTTCTAGGCATTTGCTAGAGTGGCGTCGCACGGTGTTTGTCCCTCGGGTCTGGCTCATTTCGCCCAGCATTGTGTCTTCGAGGTTTGTTTGGTTGTGCTGTCTCAGAACCTCATTCCTCTCCTTTGGCTGCACACAGACACTGCGCGGGTAGACCGTGGTGGGCTTCACCACCGTCTGTGACGGACACCCGGGCCGTGTCCACCTTTGGGTGTTCTGAGTTGTGCTGCTGAATGTGGGTGCATCTGAATCAGTTTAGTCCCTGCTTTCAAAGGTATGCCCCAGGCTGGCATCGCTGGTCATATGAGAATCCCATGCTTGTTTTTTGAGGAAAACTTGGTTCCTGAAGGCAGCTGTTTCCAGGCACGGCCTCCAAGCCCAACTCAGGAGTCACCCCTCCTGGGGCCTCCCTGCTCCCCCCACAGGTGCTGGGAAGACCTACACCATGCTGGGCATGGATGCAGAGCCTGGCATCTACCTGCAGACGCTCACAGACCTCTTCCAGGCCATTGAGGAAACCAGAGACAACATGGACTACAGTGTGTCCATGTCTTACCTGGAGGTGAGCTGGCCACCTGCCTCCATTTGCATGTCTGATGAATGGGCACGACTGTCCAGACAAAACCAAACCATGCACGTACCGTCCTCAGTGCCGTGTGCTCTCCCCAAGGCCAGCTGCCTGTGGCACGCTTCCTCGCTCAGGGCATCTGAAGTTCCTCTACAGGCTCCAAGTCCCAGTGACTTGCAAGTCCATGTGCCTATTTTTGTACCTAGCTTCTCTGTCCCCAACCTTTCTGTCCTGCCCTAGATTTACAACGAAGTGATCCGGGACCTACTGAACCCGTCCTCAGGGTTTCTGGACCTGAGGGAAGATTCTCGCGGCAGCATCCAGATCCCAGGCATCACAGAGGTCTCCACCTCAAATGCCCAGGAGGTGAGGGTTAGGGGGCTGTGGAGGGGAGCATGATCAGCCCGGCACTCCTGACACTGTGTCTCAGTGTCCTTGATCATGTCCACAGAGCACAGGTTGACACACAGCTCAGAGCTGTTTCTAGGCAGCTGGACTTGACCTTGCAGAAGAGTAGCCATCTGTACCTATCTCCATTCTCGCAGCCTGTGCTTGTGGCAGACATCACTAGTAGATCACACACCTTTTCAAATCTTGCTCCCTCATATCTGTACCATCTCTATGCCTCCCAGCCTGTGCTCATGGCAGACATCACTAGTAGATCACACACCTTTTCAAATCTTGCTCCCTCATATCTGTACCGTCTCTATGCCTCCCAGCCTGTGCTCATGGCAGACATCACTAGTAGATCACACACCTTTTCAAACCCTGCTCCCTCATATCTGCACCATCTCTTCGCCTCCCAGCCTGTGTTTGTGGCAGATATCACTAGTAGATCGCGCACCCTCTTCCTTGTGTCCAGCTGCAGTCTCCGGATCCTTTCCAACAACCCTCTGAGCAGTTACGACCAATCAGAGTTGGCTTAAAGTCTGAATCTCTTTGCTATCACAGGTCGTAACTGTTGGTGACAGTGGGATAGTGTCACCATTGTAGCCCTCACTCCTGTAACAGGGCAGGTTGTGAAAAGGCCTCTGGGACTCTATCTTCTGTCTACCCGCAGTCTTTCTCTGGTCCACACTCAGCTCTGTCCTTGGGGTGGGCTTTGGAAACAGATCAGGGTGCTGACTGCCTCTGGAATCAGTGCAGACTTCCGACCCCAGGCTGGATGCCGTGTGCCCCAGCCATGCTGGCTCCATGTCCACATTCTCTTGAACCATCCTCGTGGGTTCTGGGGCACAGGGGGCTCACCCTTTCTGCCCCTCCCTTCATAACAAAGGCTGTGTCCATCTTCCCTCCAGCCAGACACAGTCATCCAGAATGAGGTAGCACACAGTAGGCACTCAACAGAGGCCCATTGGCTAGATGTCTGCAGCTGCTTCCCAACAAGATGTCCAAGGGATTGACAGGATGGCCCGGGGCTCTGCATGCCAAAGGCTCAGGGGCTGCTGTGAGTGCTGTGAGGAGAATTGAAGAATTCTTTGCTGATGTCTGCCCTGGGAGACTTGAGGAATCCATTGGTGATGTCTGCCCTGAGAGACTTGAGGGATCCATTGGTGATGTCTTCCCTGAGAGACTTGAGAAATCCATTGGTTGAGGGATCCATTGCTGATGTCTGCCCTGAGAGACTTGAGGGATCCATTGGTGATGTCTGCCCTGGGAGATTGAGGGATCCATTGGTGACGTGTGCTGTGTTGGAGGGCAAGGGACAGTACGAGTGCAGGAAGCTGCTTTTTGCCCCGTGATGATGACTCAGTGAGTGATTCGTCACTGCAGGCCAGTCCCAGTATGGTCTCTGTTCTGCGGTGCAGCCCAGCTGTGGGAGCTGCTGAAGGGTGGGCCTGCCATTCCTGGGGGGCTGCATACAGCCTTCCAGGGCCCTGCCCACCACCCACCCACCTCTGTTTCTGTCCTTAGATCATGCAGCTGCTCACCAGAGGAAACCGGGAGCGCACTCAGGAGCCGACAGCCACCAACCAGACCTCGTCGCGTTCACACGCTGTGCTGCAGGTCACTGTGCGCCAGTGGGGCCGTGGCACGGAGCTGGCGGAGGCTGTGCGCGTGGGCCGGCTCTTCATGGTGGACCTGGCTGGCTCAGAGCGCGCGTCTCAGGTGCCTGTTTCTCTGACATGTCCACCCTGCTTTCTTCAGTGGACTAGTGTTTAGAGCAGGGCCTGGGTGGGACAAGTGGTTTACGTTCAACAAGTAACCTGACAGTCAGCGGTTCAAACCCACGTAGTGGTGGTGTAGAATAAAGCCCTGGTGATCTGCTCCTATAAGACCACAGCTGAGAGGACCCACTGAGACCTGACAGGGCAGTCCTGCTGTCTAACAGCTGGGGTTGCTGGGCATCAGAATTGACTGGATGGTGACGTGTTTTGCTCTGTAGGGCAGTTTCAGGTTCAGAAAGATCGAGCTGAAAGCACAGAGTCCCCGTATGCCCCTACCTTGCACCTGGTGTGTCCTGTCACCAACGTGTAGGATTTGTGTGGCACTGTTGTAATCAATGCACCGATATTAACACATCGCCTGTAACTAAGCCCGCAGTTTACGTTACGCTCCGGTCTGAGTTATGTACCCCTGTGACTTGTGACAAATGTGCCATGTGTATCTACCATGACAGTATCCTGCAGAACAGTGGGCTTCTCCCGCTCACCCCTTCCCCTCGCTGCACTGCCTTTATGAGAACGCCTCACTTTGCACTCCCTGCCCCTCCAGGCCACCGGCAGGACCCTGAATGTTCTTGCCTCCATGTATTCTTCAGCACCTGGGACAGCGCCAAGCCCAGCCATGGCGCTGCTGTGTGCTGAGAAGGGTGGAGGGGAGTGAATTCTCTATAAGTGGGCGCGCGCGCGCGTGCACACGCGCACTCACACACACACACACACACACACACAGAGTCAGGGTCAGTGGGGGCTTCCTGTGCGGCAGAGCCCTTTGGGTACTTGTTACTGTTGGGTGTGCCATTGGTCGATTCCAATTCACAGTGACCCTGCATAACAGTAGAGCGCCTCACGGATTTTCCTTGGCTGTGATCTTTACGGGAGCAGATGGCCAGGTCTGTTCTTCCGCAGAGTGGCTTGGTGGGTCAAACCACCGACCTTTCAGTTCACACAGAGTGCTTAGCCAGTGCACCACCAGGGCCCCTTATTCTGGTTTCTAGAGACACAAAAAGTGAGATCCCTCAGTCCTGCCCTCATAACTCCCAGTCCCTGGGGGCAGACAGCTGAGCAGGGACCCATGGCACAGTGTGTGCTTGGAGATTCAGGTCCATAGGGACACTGTGGAGACCAGAGGGGCTAGGGTCTTCATAAAAACCACAGCTCCCGTGTACCGCTCACCACATGGGCCTGGCTCTGCACATGACCCCATGTGCTCCTCATTGTAGCTCTGCCCAGGTTAGGGAGCGGGGGCTTAGACTCGGAGAGGAGGCGGGGGGCACTGCTCATCTGCCCTTTCAAAGAGAACACCAGTGTTTCCCGACCTCGAAGAGGAAGTGCAGATCCTTTGGTGATGGAAAGAAGGCACGTGGAAGATTCGGAAAATACAGACGAACAGGAGAGAGAACAGACAGGTCCTGGGGACGACTGGTGGCCCAGTGGTTAAGCACTCAGCTGCTAACTGGAAGATCGGCACTTTGAACCCAGCCAGCGGCTTCTCAAAGACCTGGTGATCGGCTCCCGTAAAGATCACAGCCTGAGAGAACCCTGTGGGGCAGTTGTACTCTGCACCCAGGGTCACTGAGTCACAGCCGCGTCAGCAGCACCCCAATAACAGCGAGCATCCCTTCAGCATCAGCAGGTCTCCACGTCAGCCCTTTTCTGGCTGCTGGGACCGCACTGCACGGCGCCACCTGAGTATGTCCTCAGGCTCCGTGCCTCCACCACGCAGCGCCACGTGTGTATTTCCTCAGGCTCCGTGCCTCCACCACGCAGCGCCACGTGTGCACTTCACCACGCCCAGTGACTCCACTGCATAGCACAGTGCTGTCCGCATGCTTATTTCATCACGCCCCGTGACCCCATTGCACAGCACAGAGCTGCCCCCTGTGTTTATTTCCTCAGTCCCCCGTGCTTGGACACCCAGCTTGCTTCCAGAGTTTCATTAGTCTTGTAGTCATCGGCTGCTGCTGTAACAGAAATGGGGCAGATGAGTGGGTGCACAATCAGAAATGGGTCTCTCACAGTTCAGGAGGCTGGAAGCCCTAATCCAAGCACCGGCTCTAGGCAGAGGCTCTGTCAGCTCTGGGGAAGGTCCTTGTCAGTTCCGCTTCTGTTCCTTGGCTCCGTGGGGATCTTTGTGTGGGGTGGCATCTGACCTCCCCCAACTCTGCTTGCATAATCCGTTCCTTTTATATCTTGTAAGAGGTGGACTCAGGACTCACTCTCCACTAATCCTGTCCCTTGACACACAAAGATAACACTCCCAAAGGGGACTCCATCCAGAGGCTTAGAGCTTAGGGTTCACAACACGTATTTCTGGGGACACAGTTCAGTCCACAGCGTGTAGCAGGACCAGCGTGTGCCCCTAAGGGCCAGGCCGCGGTGGGCTCATTTTGCCCTCTGTGCCTCAGTCTCCTCCCCTGTGACGTAGGACGGAGTGTGACGCGGGTTGGGAAGCACCAGGTGGACGGTCCCCTGGCTTACGCTGGCCTCTCTCTGCTCAGACCCAGAACCAAGGCAAGAGGATGAAAGAGGGTGCTCACATCAACCGCTCGCTGCTGGCGCTGGGCAACTGCATCAACGCGCTCAGTGAGAAGGGCGGTGGCCGAGCGCAGTATGTGAACTTCCGGGACAGCAAGCTTACGCGCCTGCTGAAGGTGGGTCTGCCGGCCCCGGGAGGGCGGGAGAGTGGCCACAGCAGCTGCTCTGCATCCTGGCCGGTCCCAGCCAGGGCCTCCGGGCGCCGCTGAGAACACCGTGGACACTGTCTAGTCACTGCCCCACCCCTCTGAGTCTGGTTCAGTCTGCTTGCACACCCCAAGTGATAGGGAGCTTACTACTGCCCCAAGCCTGGCTGTCCCATCTCAGACCACTGTGACATTCTTTTTTTTTTTCTTTTAACTTTTTGTTTTTTTTATTAGGATTTGGGTGAAGACTTACAGAGTAAATTCACTTTTCATACAGCAGTTCACATATACTTTGTCTCATGTCATTGACCAAAATTTACAATGCAGCAGCTCCCCTCCCACTTCCTCCCCATAGTTACCTCCTCCCAGTGTCCATCCCTTCATACTCTTCTGCACCCTGAGCTATCTCCCTGTGCATAAGCAGCCCTTCCTTCTCCCATGATTGTTCTCTCCAGGGCGTGTGTCTACTTGAGGTAAATGTTTAACTCACATGCCTGTACTTTGTTTGGCTGGAAACCACAGTTGTGGGTTGAATTCCAGACCTGAAGGGCAGCTAGGGGCCATAGTCTCAGTGGTTACACCAGGCTCTATTGGACCAGCAAACCTGGTCCCCACCTTCTTTTTTTTTTTTTTTGCCTCCAAATGATTTTGAGTTTTGTTCCACATTGTTCTCCCTCTTTATGCAGGATCTCCTACATCCCTTCCAAGTGGATGGCAGTGGTAGCTGGGCACCATCTAGTTCTTCTGGTCTCATGGTTGTATAGGTTGCAGATCGGATGGTGTACCAGTCACTAGGACTGATTGTTTCCATTAATTTTGGTTTTCTTCTTTCTTCTTGACGAGGAGAGACCCGTTGTTGCATCTAGATGGCAGCTTCCTAGCTTTTAAGGTCCCAGTCGCTACTCGCCAAAGTAGTAGGTGGAACAATGTTTTGTATAGTATGTTATGCCAATTGAGCTTGATGTCCCCTGCGACCATGGTCCCAAGCCCTCAGGATCATCTACTCGGTCCCTCTGGGTAGCTGGCTGTGACCAAGTAATGACCATAACCTTGCCCCTTGTCAGCTCTACTATAAACCTGGGAATTCTGATCATTCACATGAACTTATAGGCCCATTGTCTGCCAACCCTATATATGATCTTGGATACACTCTCCATTTAGACATACCTAATTGTTTAGCTTGTCCACTGTGACATTCTTGTCTATACTGAGCTGGACGAGCTGGGGTACACACAAGCACATAGGTGCACCAAGAAGTAAATGGCCCCGTGAGTTCACTGTCTGCCTAACTCTGCCCTCCTCGGAATGGAAGCACTCTGGGATGGGACTTCTTTCTGTGGGTGGCACCCTGAGGACAGACTCCTCGAACCCTGGCATGGCTGCCCTTTTCAGGGATTGGTTGGGCTGGTCTGTGTGGGCCAGGTGACAGGTGGGGAGGGCTAATGCCACTGGGCAGGTGAGAGCACCCGGCTCCCATCACCCTGACATGGCACTTCCTCCCTGAGCAGGATGCCCTGGGGGGAAACAGCCGGACAGTGATGATCGCGCACATCAGCCCCGCCAGCACCCACTTTGAGGAGTCGAGGACCACCTTGCTTTACGCCTACAGAGCAAAGAACATCAAGACAAGGGTAAGCCCCTTGTGGTGTCTGGATGGGGGCTGGGCATCGGCTCTGCCAGTGCCAGGCTGGGCAGCCTCAGGCAAGTTTCTCACCCACTCTGTGCCCCAGTCCCATCACCCGAGATGGGGAGGGCCAAGACAGCAAACCCTCATGCACGTCTGTCTGAATGTCCCGCCTGCTGCTACACAAAGGGGGCTCAGACCAACGGGGTTCTCCTGTCAGTTGTGGAGGCCAGGAGTCTGAAATCAAGGTACCAGCAGGGCCGTACTCCCTGCGAAGGGCCAGGAAGGACCTTCCTCACCTCTTCAGCCCTGGTGGCCTTGGACGTTCCTTGGCTTGTGGCTGCATGGCTCCAGTCTCCGCCACCCTCTCCGCGTGGCCTTTCCGCCTTCTTTCCTTCTCCTCTGAGGACGCTTGTCATTGAATTTGAGGCCCCCTGCCCAGATCTCATCAGAAGATCTTTAACTTAATTAGGTTGACAAAGACCCTTTTCCTAAGAAGGCCACCATCATGGGTTCCGGGCTGCAGGACACAGCACACATCCTTGTAAATGCTGTGTGCTTTATTTTTAAATTTTTGTTGTGATTTGGGTGAAGGTTGACAGAGCAAGTTCATTTTCCGTGCAATGGTTCATACACATTTTGTTTCGTGACACTGCTTACAGTCCCCACAGTGTGACAGCTCTCTTCCCACTCCTCCCTCTGGTTCCCTTTTCCCTGTGTCCTTCTTCCTGTCACTCCTGCCCCTGAGCCCTCCCCTGTGCACACACTGCCCCTCTGATCACCCCTGGTTGATTGCTCCAAGGAGTGTGCCTGCCTGGTGTAAATGCTCACACTGTGTGCCTGTCTGTTGTACGGCTGAAAGCCACGGCAGTGAGTTAACTCTCATCTGAAAACCAGCTGCCATCCAGTCCTTGCTGACTTGTCGTGACCCTGCGCCGTCGGGTCATTGCTGGTTTGTTGTGACCCCGCATGGGCCAGGGAGCCGTGCTGCCCAGTGTTTCCAGCGGCTGATTTCTGGGCAGTGGATTGCCAGGCCTTTCCTCCCAGGCACCCCCGGGTGGACTGGAGCCACCAGCCTTGCGGTGAGCAGCCGAGCACGTCACCATGTGCATCACGCGGGGCCTCCTTCGTGTGATGGCACGGATGCAACACCACAAGAACCCTGCCCTTGGCAAGCGGATCCTGTTACTATCCCATTTTACAGATTGGAAGCTGAAGCCCAGGAAGAGCTAAAGGCGCGTCTCCAGGCTTCCACAGCTAGCGAGCCGCGGAGCTGGCGGAGAATCCCGACGGTCGGCCCAGCACCCGCGCTCCGGACTCCTGGGCTGTTCTCTGCGTGCCGCTGTGCCTGGCTCGGGGGCTTGGCCTCTCAGGGCTGGTGATGCACGGATCCCAGGAGCTACCGCGTGGCCGCCACCTGGTGCAGGGACTGACCACAGCAAGGGGTCCCATGTGGCAGTGACGTTGTCAGGTGCTGCTGAGCTCGTCCAGCTCATACGACCCTGCGTCCAACCGAGCGAAGCACGCCCGGTGCTGGGCCGCCCTCACGGTCCTCGCGGTGCTGGGCCGCCCTCACGGTCCTCGCGGTGCTGGGCCACCCTCACGGTCCTCGTGGTGCTGGGCCGCCCTCACGGCCCTCGCGGTGCTGGCGCCCGTCCTTGCAGCCGGTGCTGGGCCGCCCTCACGGCCCTCGCGGTGCTGGCGCCCGTCCTTGCAGCCGGTGCTGGGCCGCCCTCATGGTCCTCGCGGTGCTGGCGCCCGTCCTTGCAGCCGGTGCTGGGCCGCCCTCACGGTCCTCGCGGTGCTGGGCCGCCCTCACAGTCCTCGCGGTGCTGGCGCCCATCCTTGCAGCCGGTGCTGGGCCACCCTCACTGTCCTCGCGGTGCTGGCGCCCGTCCTTGCAGCCGGTGCTGGGCCACCCTCACAGTCCTCGCGGTGCTGGCGCCCGTCCTTGCAGCCGGTGCTGGGCCACCCTCACTGTCCTCGCGGTGCTGGCGCCCGTCCTTGCAGCCGGTGCTGGGCCACCCTCACAGCCCTCGCGGTGCTGGCGCCCGTCCTTGCAGCCGCTGGGTCAGTCCGTCCCATTGAGGGCCTTCCTCTTTTTCCCTGACCGTCTGCCTTACCGAGCCTGACAACCTTCTCCAGGGCCTCTCCCTCCTGATGACATGACCGAAGTATGAGAGCTGACTTCCCGCCATCCTCGCTTCGTGACAGGCTTTGTTTATTACTATTATCGTTTGTCAACAAACGTGTGGAAAGCCCTTGTTCGGCGCCCAGCTCTGAGTGAGGCGCCCGGGATAGAACAGGAAGATGACGTCTTAGTTTCCTTGACGCTGGTGTTACTTGCTGTCAGTGTGGGCTCTGGTTCATGGCGCTCAGTGGAAACACAGCAAGGCGTTGCCCGATCCTGCACTGTCTTCGTGACCGTTGGCGTGTTGGAGCCCGTTGCTGCGGCCACCGGGTCGGCCCACCTCATGGAGGGTCCCCGTTTTCGCTGGCCCTCGACTTTACCAAGCATGATGTCCTTTTCAAGGGATTGTTTTCTCCCAGTGACGTGTCCCACAGAACTGACACACAGCTTCGCTGTCCTCGTGCTCCTTCCGGCTGTGAGCCTTCCGGCTGTGAGCCTTCTGGGAGGGTTTCTGTTCTGGCGACCAGTGTCGTCGGTGTCCCTCGCTGCCTTCACCAAAGTGGCTGGCTTTGAAGGACAGGAGCTTGTTTGCTCACAGGCCTGGAGGCCAGGCGTCCCCCTCTGAGCGCCGTGCCGCCTGCGCAGTTCCTTCGGGGCATGGGGACAGCGTGTGCTCTGGGCCGCTCCTCCGGCTCCGGGCCAGGGGCCTGCTGACAGTCCTTGGCTGCTCGTAGGCGTGTGTTCACAGGGCAGCTTTCTGCTGGGCGCCTCCCTGTCTCTGTCTGACCTCCGTCAGAAGACACCACTCTGAAGGGATGAGAACTGGGACCCCCCACCCCCCTCAACCCAGCATGGCCTCCTTTGTCTTAATGGGTAACAATGGGACATCCTTTCCAAACAAGGTCACAGTCCCAGGTACTGAGGTTAGGACTCCGGCCGGTCTGTTGGGGACATATTCACTGCATGTGAATATGTGGGGGTGTCTGCTCCTCCCGGAGCTCTGAGCTTAGTGGTGGAGACGGGACAGGCGGCCCTCAGGGCTCACACAGGTGAACATGGGATCCCACATGGCCAGAATCACCTGAGTGGAACCACAGGAGCCCCCGGGAAGAACCACAGAGATGAGCCCCGTTAGGGGACCTTCAGCTGAGGACCAGGCAGGGCCTCTGAGGAGGTGGCCTCCCGGGTGCAGAGAGCGTGTGACATGCCGACTGGAGAGTGACTGAGCAGCACTGGTGGGAGGGAAGGTGCCTGTGCCCTGGGACCTGGCTGTGTCACCCCCTCCAGTCTGTCCCTGTGCTGCAGCAACCAGTGTGCCTGCAGAGCCCCGAAATGCCCGTGGAGGTTGTTGTTGGGCACCTCCGAGGCAATGCCAGCCCCTAGCAGCCCCATGTGACACAGGGCTGTCCACAGGGGTTTCTAGGCTGTCACTTTATGGGAGCAAATCACAGGTGTTTCTCCGGGGAGCTGCTGGTGGGTCTGACACCATCCTTTCGGTGAGCACTTGAGTGCTTGACCGCTGCACCACCAGGGCTCCTTTCACAGTGTGTGTGGGGTAACCAAATGGTGCTCTGTTTTCCTGGGGAGTGTCCCACAGCAGAGAGGATACCTGTCCTTGGAACATGGCCTCCAGGAAATGGGGTGGGATGAGAAGGGCAAGGGAGGGAGAAGAGCTGTCCTCGGTTGTCATTCATATGACAAGCCGGACCCACAGCCCTGGAGGTCCCCCGGCAACATAGGTACAGTTGATTCTTGTCACTTGTGGTGGTGGCTCTATAAGGGCCATCGGTGGTTGGGCAGTAGAACTGTCACCTCCCAGGTGTTAAGCTCTATAAGGGCCACTGGTGGTTGGGCAGTAGAACTGTCACCTCCCAGGTGTCATGTTCTGTAAGGGCCATTGGTGGTTGGGCAGTAGAACTGTCACCTCCCAGGTGTCACACTCTACAAGGACCATCGGTGGTTGGGCAGTAGAACTGTCACCTCCCAGGTGTCACGCTCTGTAAGGGCCATTGGTGGTTGGGCAGTAGAACTGTCACCTCCCACGTGTCATGCTCTACAAGGGCCACTGGTGGTTGGGCAGTAGAGCTGTCACCTCCCAGGTGGGAGACTGGGGTCCAGTCCCCAGCAGGGCACCTTGTGTGCAGTGGCCACCGTCTGTCAGTGGAGGGTCTGCTGCTGTGACGCTGGGTGAGCAGGCAGAGGGAGAGGCTCAGTGATCTGCTCCTGAGCCACGAGCCGCCGCCAACCTGACGGGCCACCACAGCCCAAGCCCCGCCCACGGGGCTCTGAGCCGGGCCGACTCAATGGCAGCTGACGACATGTATGAAGCAGTGTGAACACTGAGTGGTGGGTGCTGAACCAGGGAGATACAGCACTAGGCTCCTGCGAGCCTCTGGTCACTTGTTCAGCTGCTCAGTGGATGAGCTTGTTTCACATGTGTTTGTACTTGAAGACCCCTAACTTGAGCTCCGGTGGCGTAGTGCCTAAGGCACCTGACTGCTAACCAGAAGGCTGGCAGTTCAAACCCACCAGCCACTCCTCGGAAGGAAGGTTGGACGATCTACTTCCGTAGAGATACCACCTCGAAAACCCAAGGAGGGGTCGCTATGAGTTGGATCCCACTTGATGGCAGTGAGTTAACTAGATGTCTGTTGTTGACTTGCTGACCTTGACCCCGTGGCTGACAGCACTGTAACTCCTCCCTGAAGGAGGTGCCTCTACACGTGTGTTCTCCGTGCGGCACACCGTGGCCTTCTCACACTTGACACTTCAGCCAGCCCCTCCATCCTAGCTGCAGCAGTGCCACTGACAGAGGCGGAGAAGGGCAGATGCCAGGGCGCTAAGTAGACTGACGCAGGGCGTCCGGCTGCAGCGCAAGACCCCAGACCAGGAGGCAAAGGGTTGTCCGTGCCCTCTCAGCAGAGAGTGGGCATGGTGGGCGGCTGATGTGTGAACACTCTGCCCATGTCTCTAGGTGACTGGGGGGCTCCCCGAGTATTGATCTGGGATCACAAGTCAACTTTAGTGAGTAGGTGAATTCATAAATACAGAATCTATGAATTGTGAGGATCGAGTATGTGTACAAAACCGCACAGAGAAAGATCTGGAAGGCTGGAAATGATAGCAGTGGTTGTCTGTGTGGGGAACCAGGACGGGGTCTGTGAGATGACCCAGAGGGGGACGTCAGACATCAAGAAGGTCTTTTAAGAGTTGATGGATTATTTGGGTTTCTCACAAACCATGTTCACATAGTAGTCATGTGACTGCATCACCAGGACAAATGGGCAGATCGACTACACCTGACCTTGGCCCTTGTGTGGCCCCACAGGTAAAGCGCAACCTGCTGAATGTCTCCTACCACATCGCCCAGTACACAGACGTCATCTCCGACCTCCGCAGGGAGATCGAGCACCTCAAGTCAAAACTGGAGAAACAGGAGAAGAGGAGCGAACCCGACACCCAAGACGTCCAAGGTGCCGCCTTGCCCATGCCTCCCTGTCCCACCCCTGCCACCTTCACCTGGGACCCTGTGCTGACAGCCATGTCTCCTCTCCTCACGCCCTCTCCTGAGGGTCTGGTATTTGGACTGCTCTGCACATTGGCACCAGATAATTACCTGGTTACTGCATTGGGGTTCAGTTCCAGGTGGACCGCTGTCTCCCTGGGTGACCCTGGACGTCCTTGACCCTGTGGGCTTTAGTGTTCTCACCTGGAAGATTTGGGGACCAAGCTATTCCCTCTGCTTTCTTTCTCACTTTCTTCTGTTTTTTCCCCACAAATCAGTTTCACTTAGTCCCCCGTTTCGGGTCTTAGACCACACCATAATTTCACCACCAAATTATAAAGCCAATCGGTAAGATAAAAAGATAACCTTAAAAATACTTGAAGAAAGCCAAGTGAGACATATATGTTATATTACTAATTACATGTTACTTTACAATACATACACTTGTACATAACATTGCATATTATATTACATAGCAACAATTGTGAAGGATGGTGCAGGACCAGGCAGTGTTTCATTCTGTCGTGCATAAGGTCACTATGAGTCAGAACTGACTCTATGGCCCTTAACAACAATAGCAATTATATTATTTATATATAATATATATTTTAGAAAACAAACCAGTTGTCGTCGAGTTGATCCCAACTCATAGTGACTCCTTGGGTGTCATAATAGAACTGTGTTCCATCCACCATCCCCCCATCCATGCAGCCATCCATCCATCTATCCATCCATCCATCCATTATCACCTATCCGCACAGCCATCCATCCATCTCCCATCCTTCCATCCATCCATCCACCCACCCATTCCTCCATCCATCCACCCATCTATCCACCCACCTATCGATCCATCCATCCTTCCTCCATCCATCAATCCTTCCATCCTCCCATCATCCATCTGTCCATCTCCTATCTATCCGTCCACCCATCCATTCATCGCTCCTTCCATTGTCCATCCATCCATCATTCATAGTCCATCTCCTATCCATCCATCCATCCATTTGTATCCATCCATCCTTCCTCCATCCATCAATCCTTCCATTGTCCATCTATCCATCCTACCATCATTCATCTGTCCATCTCCTATCTATCCATCCAT